GTGATTGTTATATCTACAACTTCATTAAAACTTATTATTTTTCCGGTGTAGTTCAAGAATGCTAATGCAGTCATGGAATATGAAAAAATAGCAGAAATGGATTTTGAGAAGCGAGATTTTCGGAAGGTAAAGTGCAATTTACCTGTTCTCACAACATTCCCCTCTGTGTGTGTCTGTCCTGTGTTAGTTTTGTGTATGTGTTTGATATTGCTGGTTCCTTTCTGTCTAGCTAATCATGCTGTCTCCTTCCTTTTTTGCATATTTTATAGGGACATCTACAAGAGGGCAAGCGCCACCTCTCTAGGAAATGCCATTTCTCTGTGATAATTAAGAGAAATAGTGTGTTAAAATAGTAAATTATTACTTGAATTTAGCTTTTGACCTGTTTTTTTTTTCTCCTCTAAAAAACAAGTTTTTTTTTTTTCTTTCTTAATTATATTTATATTTGGCTTTATGATAAAAAGCAAAGTGAGGGCTGGGGTTGTGGCTCAGCAGTAGAGCACTTGCCTAGCATGTGTGAGGCCCTGGGTTCGATCCTCAGTACCACATAAATATATATAAATAAATAAAGGTATTGTGTCCAACTACAACTAAAAAATATTGGGGAGAGAAAAAAGACTGTGTTGAGTTCAAGCCCCCCCCCCCACCTTCCTTAAGGGCATTTAGAAATCATTTTCATTTAAGTTTCAAAAGGTAAGATAGGTGGTTTTTAACCTTTTGGGGACCATCTATCAGGAGAGATTTTTGGAATCACTTAAGTTAGTAAGCTGAGCAGGGTGGTACACACTTATAATCCCAGCTGTTTGGGAAGCTAAAACATGAGGATAGCAAGTTCAAGACCAGAGGAAGCAATTTAGTGAGACCCCATCTCAAAATAAAAAGTAAAAACCAGGCATGGTGACACACGCCTATAATCCCAGTGGCTTGGGAGGCTGAGGCAGGAGGAGCTTTGTGGTAGAGGGCCCTTGGGTTCAGTCCCCAGTACCACAACAGACGGGGGGGGGGGGGGGGGGGCTGGGGTTGTGGCTCAGCAGTACAACACTCTCCTAGAACACAACAAAAAAAAGTAGTGAGTTCCATCCAAGGAAGGGGAGTTGGTGCTTTCTGTGTCAGAGGCTTAATGTTTGATAAAAAGGGATGCAGTTGAGAGCCAGCCATTCCTAACTCATACACTGTGAAGGTCTCTTATTTGGTAATAAATATATCTGATAAGCTTATGCAGAGTCCCAGTATTGACATCCCTCCCCTGTCTACTGGTTTTAATAATCACAGTGTCTTTGTAGTGTGATTCATGTTTGTTTTGTGTGTGGGTTTTTGAAGAGAATTCTGCCTACTGTCACGTTTTCTGAGGTTTACATAGGCAAAAGCTTTGTCTCAGAAGGCAGTCTTTTGGGTTTCTTTTCTCTCTTACCCATTCTGGAGCCAGAATCCCGAGTTTGTGACAGAATCCTCTGTTTGTGACATCCCAGCCCCCCCACTGTAGCTCATGGTGATGTCACAAATGAAGAATTATGATCCTGGCAGGGGAAACAGATGAACTTGGAAGAAACAAAGATCTTCTTTGCCTGCAGCTGTCCCTAGTGGGGACGTGGGGAGTTGGGGGGTGGAAAGTGAAGCATTGAACCTCCAACTGACACTCCCCATGATGAGTAGAGCCAGCTCTGCACAGACCTTTGTTCTTGTGAAGGCAAAAGGGTGTGGCTGCTGAAATTTTTACTGACTTCTTTATACTCTCCTCTTTTTTCTTGAGGGGGAAAAAGCACCACCACTCTACTTAATACCTAAATGTTCATTATTGTTTTAGAATTTCCAATAAAGTAATCTAGGCCACTGGAGGAGAGACATGCCTATTACTGCTATGTTGCTGCCCTAGAAAGTTTGGTGAACATAGTGTTGACCTGCTGCCCATGTTTTTTAATTTCTTCTCCTCTCCTCTCTTTTCTTGTAATACTGGGAATTGAACCCAGTGCCTTGTGGATGCTGAATTAGATCCCCAACCCTTAATTTCAGTTTTTTAATTGATACCATTCATGGTTCAAAAACTAGAAAGTATAAAAAAGTATTCAGGATGAGTGTCCCTTTAAACTTGCCTTCTGTTTGCCCCATTCTCTCCCCAGTCAGTTATCTATTGCTCTCCGCCTCCCAGTGCTGGGTGGGGATCAAGTCCAGGGCTTTGCACATGCTAATCAAGTGCTCTACCACTCAGCTAAGCCCCCAACCCCTATCCATTATTCTTGGGTCTCCTTTTTGTTTTTGTTGGTGGTGTTCAGTATCAAACCCAGGGACTTGTGCATGCCCATCAGATGGTCTGCCACTGAGCTACATCCTAAGCTCTTCTACTTTTTTTTTTTAAATTATTGATGTACCTTTATTTTTTATTTATTTATATGTGGTGGGATCGAACCCAGTGCCTCACACATGCTAGCAAGCGCTTTGCCACTGAGCCACAACCCCAGTCCCTCTCCTACATTTTTGTTGTACATAAATTCTTAGTTTTCTTCTTTTTTTGCATGAAAGGTATTGTGTTATTCACAATTCTCTACCTTTTTTCCCCATTGAGTAGCTCTTAGAAATCTTTCCATAGTAGTACATGGAAAATTTCATTCTCTTTCAGAACTCCATAGTATGCCATTATATGAATGTTTGTGTTGATGTAATTTGAGTTATCTCTATTTGTAACTTTTCAGACTGCATCTATCTTGATGGCTATAATCAAGTTCTTGGAGGGAATGGGAATCCCTTAATTCTAGATTTCTTCTTTGAGTCAATTTTTCTCAGGGAGAATCTTCCAGAAATAGCAGCTATGCCAAAAATGAAAGCTAAGAGAACAAACTTCTAAAAACAGAAAAGAGGAATATATTGAGACCCTTTATGAGGCTGGAAGAGTAAATTAATCCCAGCTTAATTGTGTGTGTGTGTGTGTGAGAGAGAGAGAGAGAGATAGGGAGAGAGATAGGGAGAGACTGGAGATTGAACCCAGGACCTCAAACATGCTGGGCAAACACTACCATTGAGCTTCATCCCCAGCCTTTTTTTATTTTTAGAAAGGGTCTCACTAAGTTGCTTGGGTCCTTGAAAAGTTTTGGGGATTCAATAAATTGCTGAGCCTGGCCTCAAACTTGTGATCCTCCTACCTCAGCCTCCCTGATCACTAGGTTTACAGGTGTGAGCCACAGTCTCCAGCTAGATTATTATTGCTGTTCCTTGTTTTGTGGTTGATAGGCTAAGCCTGATGAATTATACAAAGTAGTAAATAATTATATTTGTGAGGAAAAAGTGGCTTTTGGTCAAAGTCACTTTGGGTTTGGATTCACTGGAGGCAGCTTAGCATAATGAGTATAGATTCTGGAGTCTTAGGATATCTTTAAAACTGACTCCTATTTTTAATCATCTACTAGCTTTGGTAACCTTGAACATCAGCTCTCTGTTTCTTAACTGTCTTACCATTAAAGTAAAGATTATGATACTAACATACTTTATAAAATTATGAGGAGCCAGGAGTGGTGACGCATGCTTATAATCCCAGTGACTTGGGAGGCTGAGGAGGAAGATCACAAATTTGAGACCAGCCTCAGCAATTTAGCAATGTCCTAAGCGATTTAGTGGGACCCTGTCTCAAACTAAAAAACAGAATAGGGTTGGGGATGTTGCCCAGTACCAAAGCACCTCTAGGTTCAATCCCCAATACCCTCCCCCCCAAAAAAAATTGTAAGGATAAAACGGGTTAATATGTAAAGTGCTCAGTAAATGTTTGCTATTGTCATCATTTGGATTAACTGCTCTCCTCTTTTCAATATTTTGATTGAATGAATTAGGTATGTTTTTAAAACTTCAAGCTGGCTAGGGGTGTAGCTTAGTGGTAGAGTGCTTGCCAGGCAAATGTGGGTTCAGTCTCCAGCATCACAAAAGAAAAATAAATAAACTTTGATATTACTTTTTTGCTCAACAGTGGATCCTGGGAACTTCTTTGAGCTTTTAATATGTTGCTGTGATTAAATTATAAAGTTAAAGACATTTCTAGAGTCTAAGATGAAGGGCCTTATTTACTTTCTTCTTCCCTATAGGTTGTTTTCTGCATGGACCGTGCCCTAGAATTTGCCCCTGCTTGCCATCGCTTCAAAATCCTCAAAGCAGAATGTTTAGCAATGCTGGGTCGATATCCAGAAGCACAGTCTGTAGCCAGGTATGCAGTGAGGCCATTTCAGAATTGAGCTGCCAGATACTACTGAACTGATGCTGGCTGGTTGCTCTTTATAACAGGAATTGTGGATATGTCAGCTAGGGCTGATCAGACCTTCCTGGGACATAAAGCCAAAGATTAGACCAAATTAGAAAATCCATAAAGTATATAGGATATAGTAGTATAACAGGTATTTGAGCTGGGTATGTGAAAGAACAAATTGTATTATGTGAATTTTGGGGTTTGCTTTGTTTTAACATAATCCTTTTCCTTCTACTCCAGGGGTTGGCAAACTCTATAAAGGCCAGATAGTGAATATTTGTCTTTGCAGGCCATAAGGACTCTGAAAGGACTTATCTATCGTAGTACAGAAGCAGCCATAGATAATAGATGCATGAATAGGTACAGCTATGTTCCAGTAAAATTTTATTTATGAAAGTCAGTGGCACTGAAAGGACATAAAACCCAACTATTTTTTATTTTTTAGTTACCAGTGGTTTTTCTACTTTATTTATTTATTTGTGGGGCTGAGGATTGAACTCAGGGCCTCAAACATTTCCAGGCTACTGCTCTACCGCTGAGCTACAACCCCAGTCCTAAAACCCAACTCTTTAATCTTTTTATTTTTTTAAGTAATTTTTCTTGACAATTAAAAAAAAAAAAGTCAAGGGGCTGGGGATGTAGCTCAGCTGGTAGACTGCTTGCCTTGCATGCACAAGGTCCTGGGTTCAATCCCCAGCATCACACACACACAAAAAAAAGCCAGTGGCAGTGGGGCTGGGGTATGTAGAACACATGTTTATCTTGGCGTGCACAAGGCCTTGGGTTTAATCCCCATTACAACAAAAGGAGGAGGGGGGGAAGCAGGAAAAGAACACAGTGGTAGAAAGGATTTGCCTTCTGTCGCCTTTAGTTTGCTAACTCCTGTTCTAGTTTAAAAAGAATTGTGAGACAGAAATGCATTGATGCTGGGCACAGTAGTGCATGCCTGTAATACCAACGATTCTGGAGGCTAAGACAGAAGGATTGCAAGTTTGAGGCCAGCCTCAGCAATTTAATGAGGCCCTAAGCAATTCAGTGAGAATTTGTCTCAAAATAAAAAGGGCTGGGGATGTAGCTCAGTGGTTAAATACCCCTGAGTTTAGTCCCCAGTATCCCAGGGGGGAAAAAAAATGCATTGGGCTGGGATGTAGCTCAGTGGTAGTGTTTGCCCAGTGTGTGTAAGACTTACGGTTTAATCCCAGCACCACCAAAAAAAAAAAAAAAAAGTGTGAGAGTTGTATTAAAGATGAATACAAACTGGGTATGGTGGCACACCTGTAATTTGGAAGGCTGAGGCAAGGGGATCATGAGTTCAAAGTCAGCAGCTTAGCAATGCCCGAAGCAACTCAGTGAGACCCTGTCTCTAAATAAAATATTAAAAAAGGGCTGGGGATGTGGCTCAGTGTTGATTGAGCACCCCTGGATTCAATCTCTGGCACCCACCCCCCCCAAAAAAAAAAAAAGAATATGGTGGTCTATTTGGCAAGATTTGGGGAGAGTTCTTGGGAATCTTGACTACATTTTAAAAATTTTGAGGTGTGTGTGTGTGTGTGTGTGCACGCGCGCGTGCGCAAGGCAGACTTACTTCTGACAGAATGAAGTGCTATAGAATCTAGCTAGCAAGCAAGCCTGGGTGGGCAGTCCACCTATTTATATACCTAATACAGGGCTGCTCTTCATCCTGATTGGAGGTCTCAGGGATACAGTCTACACAATTGGCTAATTTTAAAATTAGGGCAGGCAAAGGGAAGGACTATAATTAAAATGGCTACAATTGAATCCACTTAAGGCTGAATACTCTATTTTGAAAATGGACCACCAGACTTTGTTCCTCACATTAAAATATTTCCAGTTCAAGGGCTGGGGTTGTAGCTCAGTGGTAGAGCGCTCGCCTCGCATGTGCAAGGCCCTGTGTTTGATCCTCAGCACCAAATAAATAAATAAATAGAATAAAGTTATTGTGTCCAACTACAAAATATAAATATAAAAAATATTTCCAGTTCGATAATAACAACTTTACATTTTAATACGTTTAATAATAGATATGTGATAAGGAAAAAAATGGCCACAAATTGTAGTAAATGGTCAGGATATTCCAAACCACAGCTAAACGTGACTCTTTCTGGCTTTTGCAGTGACATTTTACGAATGGATTCCACCAATGCAGATGCTCTGTATGTACGGGGTCTTTGCCTTTATTATGAAGATTGTATTGAGAAGGCGGTTCAGTTTTTTGTACAGGCTCTCAGGATGGCTCCTGACCATGAGAAGGCTTGCATTGCTTGCAGAGTAAGTCTAGGCATGCTAATCTGGATGGGAAAGAAAACTTCCTTTCACTTTTTAGATGGTTGGAGTAGATGTTTAAATCACAAGGAATGTGATAGCCCCTCTTACTGCTTTATAAGGATGCTTGATCTTTTCATAGAAATTATTTCAGGACTACTTTTATTTACTTAAAGGTAAGTTTGATTATATGGGTCAGATCCTTTTAACAAGTTTAGTTTTGTTTTGTTCCTTTTCTCCTTAATAAAGAAGTTAGTAATTCTTGGCAGGCGTGGTGGCGCATGCCTGTAATCCCAGTGGCTCAGGAAGCCGAGGCAGGAGGATCATGAGTTCAAAGTCAGCCTCAGCAAAAAGTGAGGCACTAAGCAACTCAGTGAGACCTTGTGTCTAAATAAAATATAGTATAGGGCTGGGGATGTGGCTCAATGGTTGAGTGCCCCTGGGTTCAATCCCCGGTACCCCATGAAAAAATAATTCTTTTTTTTTTTTTTTTTAATTAGTAACTCTTACTCTGGGAAATTTAAACCTGGGCAACAGTTCTCACTAGTGGTGTTTTTCAAATCTTGGTTTACCCTGTGCATTGTACTGGAAGCACCAGTGAGCAACAAGTAGTCTAAGCGGTAGCCGTAGGGGTTGTTGTGGGATGCTAAACCCTGGGATCCAAAAATTGAGACTAGATTCTGTCCTCACTGTGCAGTGATCAGAGGTTTTCTGGCTGTGAACTGACCTCGCCTTGTTCATCTCTAGAATGCGAAAGCACTCAAAGCAAAGAAAGAAGATGGAAATAAAGCATTTAAGGAAGGAAATTACAAGCTAGCATATGAACTGTACACAGAAGCCCTCGGGATAGACCCCAACAATATAAAAACAAATGCTAAACTCTACTGTAATCGGGGTACGGTTAATTCCAAGGTAAGTACTTGGTCTAGGTCTTGGGACATATGAAGATATATATAAATATTTATTTTTTAGTTGTAGTTGGGCATAATACCTTTATTTCTTATTTATTTATATGTGGTGCTGAGGATTGAACTCAGGGCCTCGCACGTGCTAAGCAAGCACTCTACCGCTGAGCCACAACCCCAGCCCCTGGAGATATTTTTAAGGGCTATCAAAGAGATCTTAGGAAATCTGCCCAATAAGGGTAAACCAGCTGAAAGAGGGAAGGGTGTTTTGGAAAAGTATCTCAGCTTGTTAGGAAAGGCAAGCTTTTATCTTTTCAGTCAAATTTAGAGGTACTTTAAAAACAGTTTGGGAGGATATTCCCACCTGTTCTTTCTCAAGGTATCTTTCCTTCAGGAAGAGAATGGCTAGGGGTTTGGGATAATTTTAAGCAAGTATTACTGCTTCTTTTTGCTTAAGCAAGAGATCATTTATTTTTTTAGGAATGATTTGGAGGAAATGGGAGTATGAAGTAGTAGATTTTTCCTCTACTGTGACTCTGGTAACCATGTATGATTGAAAATGACCTGAGTATTCCTGAGGCCCTTTACAGCATAAGTAGGCGTCTTGCTCTTGGCAGACTTCTAGTAGTTTAAAATTGCAGTCATAGGGGGATGGGGTTGTGGCTCAGAGGTAGAGCACTTCCCTGGCATGTGAGGCACTAGGTTTGATTCCCAGCACCATAGATAGATAGATAGATAAAATAAAGGTCCATTGATAACTAAAAAAAAAAAAATTTTAAACTGTGGTCATAGCTGGGTGCAGTGGCATGTCATACGCCTGTAATCTCAGTGACACAGGAGGCCGGGGCAGGAGGATTCCAAGTTCAAAGCCAGCCTGAGCAATTTAGTGAGACCCTAAGCAACTTACCAAGACCCTGTCTCAAAAAGTAAAACTGGTTGGGGATTAATCACTCAGTGATTAAGCACCTCTGGGTTCAATCTCCAATATCAAAAAAAGGAGGGGCTGGGGATGTAACTCGGTGCCCCTGGGTTCTATCCCCAGTACCACCAAAAACAACAACAACAACAACAACAACAAAAAACACAGTCATTCCCTCTTTTTTCTATTGGCCTCTGAAAAAGTGGAGGGCAGGAACCATCCCTCCTGTATTCCATGTTTTGGTTGGATACTGATGTGGAGTGGTAGAGGTGGTTTATCATTTCAGATGACTACTTGGTTTGCATCACATAGTAATGAAACCAATTCCAAATTTGGTATCCTTAACCTTCTGAAATAATGGCTTTTTCAGTGACCAAGAATACTTATTCGGGCTGGGGATGTGGCTCAAGTGGTAGCGTGCTCGCGTGGCATGCGTGCGGCCCGGGTTTGATCCTCAGCACCACATACAAAAAAAAAAAGATGTTGTGACCGCCGATAACTGGAAAATTAATATTAAAAAAATTCCCCCCCCAAAAAAAAAAAAGAATACTTATTCACAAACAAGACCTACTGTGACAGTTAGGGGTCCGGCATTGAGTTGTACTGTTAGAATTTTTAAGCCATGCTCACAACTTTTGGGCTCCCTTGGTCACCAAAGATGTGAAGTATGACTGCTCTCTCTCTCCTGAAGCTTAGGAAACTAGATGATGCAATAGAAGACTGCACACATGCAGTGAAGCTCGATGACACATATATAAAAGCCTACTTGAGAAGAGCTCAGTGGTAAGTGCTTCTGGAGGGTGGGGGAAGAGGGAGTTGCCCCTGGCCTACCAGGGGCATTGCATTGTGGATGATGAAGCAGACCCGGGGATGTTGTGAGGTCATTTGGTCCTTCCCCCTGCCTCTAGGTGGGATTGTTCCAGCCCTAGACTATCTTTATAGACCTCCAGCGGAGGAGATTGCACAAGCTCCCTCAGTCTCCCATGCCTGTGTCTAACGCCCCTCACGGTCAGTAAGTTTCTTCTGATGCCTGACCCAAATTCCTTTTTGTTAAAAGTTTAAATCCATTTCCTTTGGAGAGTTTATTTTGTATTGTACACTTTTGCTCTAACTTAGCACAGTGCTTGGCACATAGGTGCTCACCCATTAAATGTTTTGTTGAAATGAATGTGTGGTGCTTGGAAGAGAGGAATAAAAGTATCTCTCAGAGACAGTTGAAGATTGTATTTACCCTGTTTGTTCTGGTTGAGGGAAAATAATCTTAGGGTTGATCTCAGCAGTATAAGGAACCTCCTTTTGAAATATCCTTGATGGGTAGTCTGCTGGGTGTTTTAAGCAGAGAGGACTCCCTGACAAGGTGATTTATGAACCTAGATTATGCCTGCCAGGTCCAGTGCCCTCATTTGTCCCAGAGGCTGGGTGCTTTCTGGCTTTCTTCTGCATCTTGTTGTGAACCCACCAGAGGCTAGGATAAACCTCTCAGAAATTATTTCGTCTGCCTGGGTATGGTGGTACATGCCTGTTAATCCCAGCAACTTAGGAGGCTGAGGCAAGAGGATCATAAGTTCAAGGCCAACTTCAGCAACTTAGCGAGACCCTGTCTCAAAAAGTAAAAAGAACTGGGGGTGTCTCTCAGTGGTTAAGTGCCCCTGGGTTCAATCCCCAGGACCAAATAAATAAATAAAATAAATAAAATCATTTTTTCTTGCATCATATTATTCCCTAAGCAGAGAAGAATTTCTGTCTTTAAAGAGTCTAAAGGGAGACATTTTTGTTTTATGCCAGTCTTCCAACACCTACTCCATTTCTTATTATAAACTGTCAGATCCAAAGAACAGGTGCTGTTGTGATGCCTCATGAGTCACTATTTTAACTTCCCCTTGTCGTCACTGGTACAGGATGCCTTACAGACTACCTCCCTTTCATTTTCCCAAAATTGTTGCGCTTAAAATAAGAATACTGATGCCACTTGTGTGTGTGTGGGGGGGTGGGTGTTAATGAATTTTTAAGTGGATGACTAAGTCCAAAAGTCTGTAATTCCATGGACTTAGAGACTGTAAAAACCAGCCTCATTGCATCTTCTGCATTCTGGTGGCAGACAAAAAGTGTCCTTTGACCCAACAAAAGAGTTGTTTTAACAGACACAAAATTCTTTATACAGGAAGTTGTTCACTGCATTTTAATGTAAAATAGTGAAAAAGAAAAGGAGAATATCTAGTGGGAAGGGGTTGGATGGATAGTTGACTCTGTATTGACCCAAGGTAGTGCTTTACAGTGTTTGAATAGGGAATGGAAGGAGAGCGGTGAATTCTTGATTTGTTAGAGAATGAAATGAAGGATTATTTTCTTCTTTGTATGTATACATACAATAATAAGAAATCGGGTATCACTTTGATCAGATAGCTCCTTATCTTTGAGGTAGAACTGTCCTTGGAGTGGCTTTGCCTTTGAGATTTTACCTTGGGGAGAGCATGCACTATTGGCACAGTTGCTGCTTGACAGCAAACCCCTCCATCAGCTGGGATTGTTTGGGCATAACTAAAATTAGCTCAGGCTAAAACTTTACCAGAGGCCTAACCATTATCCCATTCTGTCTCAGTTTACCCTTAAGTTGGGGAGATGCTAGATGTTTGCTACATACCTGATCATAAGTGAGAGTTCTCTCTTTTCCACTAAAGGCTTATTTACTTTTCTACTTTTTCCCCACATTTAAAAAACTTTAAATATGAGGTTATTATTGAATTTTTAAAAGTGTGACATAAAACGTAAATCACTGTAGTATGACTGTTCAATATATTATGTCTGGGCCTAAAAAGATCATCAGGGTTACTTATTTGTCAGAGTACTCTACACCCAAGACTGTCAGTTCTCAGTTTTCTTTTACTTTTATTTCAAATTATATTACACTTCATTCTGCAAATTGTTTCTCTGAGCTCTTTAAGTAGCATTTATACCGTTTTCGCCAATCATTGGGCGTTTGTTGTTTTTGTTTGATAGTTTGTATATAGGACTGAGGATTGAATCCAGAGTGCTCTGCCAGTGAGGTATATCCTCAGCCTTTTTATTTTTAATTTTGAGACAGGAGCTCACTAAGTTGCTTAGGGTTTCAGCCTCCTGAGTAACTGAGATCATTGGTGTGTGCCAACATACTTAGCATGGCTTTGATTTTTTAAGGTCTTGAATCAAGATGTTTCCTGAAAATCAGAGATGCCTAAGATGTTGAGCTCTTTTGGCCAGCCATGTTGTTATGAGGTTCCCTGCCCTGGCCTCCAAGGCGAGTGGAGGTCTTCTGTGATTGCAAGTGCTTGGGTAGTAGTAGTACATGTCTCTTGTCGAGCAGCACAAATTGCACTGCATGATTTCTTCCCTATGCCCAGCTGCTGGTGTGTCTCTGGAACAACTGCCACAGTCTGTTAGGTTGAGAGGCGAGTCTTGGTGCTGGTGACCTTATCAGGACATGGAAAATGCCACTTGCTTCCATGAAAAAGATAAAAGAGCTGGCAGTCTGCCTATTAAGTTAGATTCATCCCATCGAGGCCCGGAGGCCCTTCTTGTGTGCTATTGAAGTAGAAGCAAACTTGTGTTTAGAGTTTTCCTTTTCTGTCACTTGACTTCCATCTCTCAGATTGACTGGTGTTATGGAAGCATTTGCCAGCAGCTATCACCTTGGACTTGATCCTACTAGTGGCTCACTAATCCCACTTCTGCCCTGGATCAGAGCTAGCCCTGCATGTTTATGGCACGAAGATTTCAAAGCTCTTTCATATTCTTTTTTTCCTCACTTGGATACTTTCTCATGTGTGTTTTAGCTCTGAGTAATCAACTGGGCCTTCTCCTTGCCTTTCCTACAGCAATCCATCTGCCTCTTGGGTGGCTCTGTGTCATGAGGACCTTTTCCCCTTGATTACTCTCCACTCAGAGCAGAGCATCACTTTGCTGGTTGGGTGCAAGTGCCATGAGGCCTCTCAGTTTTTTCTCTGAGGAACTGATAGCTAATTTTTTTTTTTTTTTTTTTTTTTAGATTAAGGACTCTCTGTTTCATGAAGTATCTTGCCAAAGTGTGTGTCTCTTGCTTGAGCCATGCCTTTTCCCCTAGAGACTATTGCTATCTATGTCTGAGCACTATTGCCCTGTACTTCCTTCTCAGTTACATGGACACAGAGCAGTATGAAGAAGCAGTGCGGGACTATGAAAAAGTGTATCAGACGGAGAAAACAAAAGGTAACCTGGTACAGAGCATTTGTTTCTTTGTCAACTATGTGGTCTTATTTATAGGCCCTAAAACACAGACACAAGGCTGTTTGATTCCTGCCTCAGGGGGTGTATGTGGAACTTATTTTAACCTCCACCAGGAGGAAGTGAACAGAGGTCCTTCCTGGTTGGGGGCTTGGGCACTTATGTTTTGGTCCCAACCCTTCCTTGTCACTTTCACTTCTTTTTCTGTGTGGTGAAGCTATTGTGAGGAACCTAAGTTCGAGATTTCTCTTTTTCTTTTTTTTAATATTTATTTTTTAGTTTTAGGTAGACACAATATCTTTATTTTACATTTATGTGTGCTGAGGATCGAACCCAGTGCTTCTTGCTTGCTAGGCGAGCACTCTACCACTGAGCCACTACCCTAGCCCAGTTTGAGATTTTTCTTAGTTTCCAAAAGAAAACATCCTAAAACCCCTGGTATAATTAAGTCTTCTATTTCCAAGGCAGCTGGGCTGGGACCTGGAAAGGGAAACCAGAATCACATTTGTCTATTGATGCCACATGTCTCCCTTTAGAACACAAACAGCTCCTAAAAAATGCACAACTGGAACTGAAGAAGAGTAAGAGGAAAGATTACTACAAGATTCTGGGAGTGGACAAGAATGCCTCTGAGGATGAGATCAAGAAAGCATATCGGAAACGGGCCTTGATGCACCATCCAGGTTAGAGCTTGTGGGAGAGGGGCATGCTGGGAAGAACCCTACAGGCAGGCACACAACCTTGCTCCGTCCTGGGGGCACCTTGAGAGGGTCTTCAGTAGAAATAAGGGGGTTCCAGAACCAGAGTCCAAAATCAGAAATGATGAAGTGGTCTTTTCTTTTAAACTTTGTTTTCTTGAGACTTTAATTTCATCTGAGTTTTGTTCCTTTTAGATCGGCACAGTGGAGCCAGTGCCGAGGTTCAGAAAGAAGAGGAGAAGAAGTTCAAGGAAGTTGGAGAGGCCTTTACCATCCTTTCTGATCCCAAGAAAAAAACTCGTTATGACAGTGGACAGGACCTGGATGAAGAGGGCATGAATATGGGTGGTGAGTTGATTGGGGCCTCTGGGATGAATCTAACACCTGTGGAACGTTGACAGCTTTCTAAAGATGCTCCAGAGGGAGAGTCTATATGTAATCAGTTCATGACAACACAGTAATTTGTCAGTCTTCCCTTGATGAGTACCTATGTTTCAGGCACTGTGTTGAGCCCTGCAGATGAATTAGGTTAGTTCTCTAATGTCTAGGAACCCACTGTCTAGGAGGTCACAAATGGATGGATCCTGGGCCTAATCTGATCCTTAGTCTAAGCAGAATAATAAACATAGACTCAAACAAAAGCAATCAAGTACAGCAGTTCACAGGGTGCAGGGTGGGCTCTAAGGGGGTGGTGAGCACTAGCAAGGAAAGGCTTGGAAGTATAGAAAGTGACCCCTTCAGGGATCTGTAAGGGGCTTGGTCTGGAGGATGTAAGGATAGGGTACTAGAGACAGGCAGTGAGTATAAGAGCAGCAAGTAGCTGGATCAGATCTCAGAAGGCTACAAGGGTTATATGCAGTAAGGAATAGCCAAATGTTATCTCCCCCCCACCCCACTGCAAAGTATGTGCTGTTATTTGTGTGTGTCATACATTCCTGTAAACCCTCAGATCTTAATTCCCAAAAAAGACTTAGCATGAAGAAAAGTACAGCTTTTGTCAGTGTGACTGAAGGGCTTGATCAGAGATAACAGTGGTACTGAACTGCCCATAGCACACAGACCACATTCTGTGCTACCAGCTCTTTGTCTTCCATTAAGAAAGTCTATTGTAATTTAAAATCAGAATGATGATGCTATGTAGATAATCCTGAATCCTCTCAAGTCAAGGTTGGTGTGTGCGTGTGTTGCTGTTACCAGTAATAAACATGTTGCTCTGCCCTGAAGTTGAGAGGATCTAAGCAGTCAAAAGCTATTGAAGTAGTGGGGTTGTGGCTCAGCAGCAGAGCACTTGCCTTACATGTGCAAGCTCTGGGATAGATCCTCAGTACCACATTAAAAATAAATAATTAAATAAAATAAAGGTATTGTGTCCAACTACAATTAAAAAATATTAAAAAAAAAAAAAGACAGCCATTGAAGTAGGGCTGGGATTGTGGCTCAGTGGTAGAGCACTTGCCTAGCATGCGTGAGGCACTGGCTTTGATTCTTAGCACAGCATATAAAGATACATTGACAGCTTAAAAAAAAAAGCTGTTGAAAGCTTTTAATTAGAAGTACTGTGGGCTAGATTTAGGCTCTAGAAATTTACATGTGGTGGTAGTGAGGAGGGGGGTGAAGGAGGATAGAGATTGAAGGAAGACGTGTAAGTAGTAAAGGTATGGAGAGCACAAATGGCAGATGGTGGCAGACTCAGCAGGAGTTGGTTGCTGATCAGCTGTGTTTGGGAGATGGAAAGGATGTAAATTGAGAGTGACTTTGCTATAGATGACTCGGGACCATTCACTGAGCCAGGACACCCGGTATAGAGGAGGGTGTCACAGATCTTGCTCTTAAATTTATTTGGATAGCATTGAAGTGATACATTTTAGCCCTTTCAGTAGCAGCCCTAGCATTGTAGGGGGCTGTGTTAAGTGCAAATGGCATCTTAAGTTGCTCAACGAGACTGCCTGTGGAGTAGGTTGAGGCAGAGAAAGCTTTCCCTCTGGATCTCACTTGGAAGGGGATGGGAACATGTCCTTGGAGCAAGAACAGGCACTATGTTTTGCATGGGGTGGGCAGATTTGCCAATCTTTAGGCTGAGGTGTTGGGAAAGGAAGGAAATGATACTTTAAAAGTATGACTTGGAGACCTGTGCTCAGGGTCATAAGTTCCTTTTCAGATCCTTCTAATTTTTCCCCATTTTGTCCCTTCTATGTTTCCTGCCAGATTTTGATGCAAACAATATCTTCAAGGCATTCTTTGGAGGTCCTGGGGGCTTCAGCTTTGAAGGTGGGTATGCCTGCTGCCCTCAGAAGTTCCCAGTTTACAAGCCAGCAATTAGGCAGCTCTTTGGATCAGAGGTGCCCAAGAGTGGGGGCAGTTGAATCCTGCAGGACGTCTATCCACACAGGTGTTGCTGAGGGAGAGAGATTGGTTCTCAGACACATCCTTCCTTGGGACTATTAGCAACACATCTCTGCAGGATCAGAGAGGAAGTTGCCTTGTACCAAGGCTTCACTGCAAGAGTAGAGGTGTTCAGAAGCTATATGCATAAAATGGGCTCACAAATGGGGTGTGACTCAGTGGCAGGGCATTTGCCTGGCATTGGTGGTGAGGCCCTGGATTCCATCCTCAGCACTGCATGTACATAAAGAAAATGCATTCACATGTTCCTCTGGCACCCTGGGGCTGGGCGATTTTAAATTCTTAGAGTTTCTTTGTTTGAGTTTGAAGCAACCCTTGAAGACTTTTTCCATTATCAGAGAAGTGATCTTCCCTAGAAAGTCCACAGAGCTAACTAACAAGCCCTTCTTTTCCCTTTCAGCCTCTGGTCCAGGGAATTTCTTCTTTCAGTTTGGCTAATGAAGGGCAACCACCAGAACCCAGAAAATGCAGACTCACTCAGTTCAACCTCGAATGTGGACACAATTCACCTCCTTCCTTCATCAAGTCTCTGTGTACTTAGAGCAGTTTCGTTTTCTCAGTTGGATGCCTGTGTCTGTGAGTGTGGTGAAGGAAAGGGAGCCAACGTGCAAGATTGGGGAGGGGAGGGAGGTGGGGGGTGGACAGGGAGGCAGCTTGTGAATTTTTGTTGTACTGTTTAACTTTATTAAAAAAGGAAAAAAAAAAAAGAATAAAATAAAATGTTTTGACCCTTTCTGGCCCTTTGCTTTGGCAGCTGCTTTATGTCCCTCCACAGCCTATAGGCCATAGCTGAGCCACCAGCGTGGAACTGACCTTGACACAGACTTGAGGTCCTGCAAGCTGACATAAGGGCTTGGGTACCCCAAGCCTGGTAGCAGATGGTGCTGCTGGGTTCTGCCTAGTGGTGGTTATGGGGAAGTGAGTTCAGAATGCATGCTCATCTTATAATGAGATGGCCAGAAGTCACTAGAAGCTGTGTATGTCTAGAACACAGGAGTGTAGGTGGTGTTAACCTGGGTCATGTGGTTCACACAGGCGCTCTCAGTTCTTCTTAGACATGGAGATGAGAATAAAACCTGCCTCCTAACCTCCAGACTCTCAAGTGGGTCAGGCAACTCCCAGGCCTCATCTCTGGCGTTAGACTCACATGGTTGGAAATACCATTCTTAACAACTGCCCTTGGCCTTCTGCATTGGTCCCCTTTCTGGTGTGAACACAGGCTGAGGAGAAGCAGCAGTATGTGTCGCACTGTTCAGTCCAGCTTCCTGTTGAGGTGAGAAGCCTCAAGAGTTCTAGGCAAACATGAGAGGCTTGACTGAAGCTTATTTTTGGTGCTCTGATAGTCTCAATGGCCAGGGAGAGGCCTTGAGCCAGAGAAAAGACTTGATTCCTTTTCTAAGCTCTGCCTTTACCCCCTTTGGTGCATGGGGCAGTAGTGAAGTGATGGCTGAGTTAGGCCTGCGAAGTTTCCCATGAACTAAGCTGTAGGAGACTACTGAGTGTTAAATCATCCCTTGTGTTTTAAAGTAGCAGTGACTTGAAGGTGGACTCTCCTAGAGAACTGGGGAAAACCCATACTAGGAACATTGGCTCTTGCAGAGAGATCTGATCAGACTGGTCTTGGGACACCTGTGGGCCTGATGCCCTAGTTAATGGAGGACAAGAGCTTTTGTGCTCCACATCTCTCCTGGTCAACCCCCACGTTCTGTACGAGTCTGAGGCCAGCCTCTCTCCTTTCTGCCTCCTCATGAAAGCCAACACTGTTCAGTTGCCCAGCCTTACCACAGCTGTGCCCAGCCAGCAGCGGGGAGACAGGACCGATGGCCCCAAGCTGTGGGACAAAGCCAGTCCTAATATACCCAGCCCTGGATGCAGGAAAGACTGAGCTGGGCATAGAAGGGTGAGAGAGACTGCACACAGCTAGGATTAACATGATTTATTTCATTATCAGTCTTACAAGTTGACTAGGCTGGGCAAAACCCGGATAGTAACTTAAATCCAAAATACTCTGTTGAGTGACAACCTGATTAGCAAGGTCCTGTTATTGAGCAGAGGGCAGTGGAAGGCACTCCAGGAACCAGAGCCCATGGAGCAGTGTTAAAACCCCTCAGAGGCAGCAGGTGGGGTTTGCCTGGCCAACTAGAGGTCCCCTCCATTGGCTCTTGGTACCCAGTAGCCTCCTTTAGAGAAGGCTCAAAGGCCTCCAGAGGCACCAGGGAGGCAAGATGGACTGGGCCCAGCAAGGCTGGAGCTCTCCCCTGCTGTGTCTCTGGCCTCTATCTATCTCCTTGGCTATGCAGCAGAGCCACACCACTGGGAAGGACAGCCAACTCAACCCCTTCCTGGGGTGGGACCAGGAGGCAGGCTGGGAGGTGGCGGCTGCTACTGAATCAGTTATCAAACTGTTACCTAGTTATAGGGTAAAGGAGACAGGGACTTAGGACCAAAGGTGGGAGGTAAACCCCTTTTTCTACCCTGGCAAATAATCCCAGGGGTTACAATGATTAAGAAATGGGATCAAAACCCAGGGGCCCAGGACACTCTTATGCCTCCCAGGTGCTGTGCTGCAAGTTCTGAGCCACCTTTTAAATAAAATTCCTGTTCACTTGCTTTTATTAAAAGAAAAGAAAAAAGCCCGGGGATCCTCCCTCCTGTGGCAATGGGCCCCAGACTACAGCCCCACTGCCTTTGGTCCTTTGTTAGCAGGGCCTGGGCTGGGGGCAGGGCTTGCCAGTTCCTGGAGGTGGGGCAAGGTGGGGTTCTGACTGGCTCCAGCCTTATCAGCTTTGATCCAGATTCCTGAATGGTGTCAATCCACCCACCTTGTGTTGAGACTTGGTGTGTTAGAGGGGAAGAGGGCAGACAGCAAGGGAGAGGCAGTTATTTTACAAGTTTTTTAAAAAGTTATATGTAAGTTAACTTTGAGTAAAAAAAAAAAATCTTACCACATGGAGCACATGTAGCCCTCTCCTCCCCCTCCCTTCTAAAGAGTGAGGAGCATATTGTGGCACAAACCCTCAGATGATGATGCAGGACTGCAAGGCGCCCCCCTTCCGGCTGCCATGAATGGGCACAGGTTTACCCTTCCCGTAGTATCCTGTGAAGATGGCCTTGACCTCCATCTTCTTGGCCAGACTTAGCATCCAGCGCCCACTGCCCAAGGAGTAGAGTTTGCCCCGGGTAAGCTCACCCACCTCCTCACCACGGCTGCCCCCCTTCTCCTGCCGTACAATCTCTAAGAGGTCAATGCCGGTCTGCACGGCCTCCACGTCGGCCGCACAGCCAAGGGTGATATGAGCGCGGCTCCCCCGGGGCAGGTTGTCAGAGGACAGCTTGTCCACGTCATCTGGCCACAACAGCAGCTCCTGCTCACTCAACTCCACCCGGGCCCCAGCCGTCTTGGGTGTCACAAAGAGGGCAGAGATGGTTAATGTGAAGGCCTTGCCGTAAGATTTCTTCACCACCTAGGGAGAGTGAGAAAGAGGAGCCCAAGCTAGAGGGACAGCTGACCAAGGGTGGGTTACTCCTGGAGGAAAGGTCAGCTTAGCAGATGTGATCACAGCTGAGTGGAGGTCTGCATATCTGCCACAGATGTGTGCAGCTGCAGCATGTGGCAAGCAGGGTGCAGGCTGACAACCACAAGGTGCTCAGAGGCAGGAGAGCAGGGGTAGAACCAGACTGGTGTGCAGACCTTGTCCCTGCTCACCAGTTTCAGGGCTTTGAGGGAGCTGTTGAGCCTCTCAGTTTATCCACCTGTAAACCACATAATACTAGAAGATACCTCAGGGTTAATGTGAGGACTAAAGGAGTGACCAGGTGCAGAGCCAGGGTCCAGGTGCACAGAACGTGCCATTGCTCTTCCAATTCGCCTCTGTCTAGGCTTAGGCTACACCATGGGGCAGTGATCAAAATCTGTTCCGTGTACTGTGGTTTCCACCTACTATACATCAGAGTATATCTGATTTCTTTAAGAAACTTCATTTCATCCATCTGACCTGACCATAAAATCTAATTTGCTCACAAGCCTCTGTTCCAACACTGTCTGGCATGTAATAGGTGCTTAATAAATAAGGCTGAATGAACAAATGGTTAGATATGGTAGTGATAACTTATATATTCAGTCATTCTATGCTATTCAGTTAACTATGCTAGGGTTCTGGAAACACAGGGGTGAACAAAATTAAGAACTCCTGGCCCCCAGCTGCCATCTGAGTAAGAAGACACCAGAAAGCAAACATATAAAATAGTTATGTTAGTCTGGGCAGGGAAGCGGGAGAAGAACAGGGATCAGGGAAGGTCTGACAGAGAGGGTGACAGTAGAGGAAATGGGGAACCAAGTTGTGCAGATCTGGGTGACACATCTGGTGTTTCAGGATCACCGTATCTGGCTGTGGGTGTGCAGTGCTATCTGTGTGGTGGTGAAGGATCTAGTACTCCTAAGCCAATGAACTTTACCACGCTAAGCCATTCTCTCTCTCTCTGGGGCAAGGCCAGGCCTCAGACATAGACAAGAGCCTCAGTGCACCAGGCTACCTGGGACACAGGACTCTTAGCCATTAGGACTTAACATGGGTTCCCCATGAATCCACAGAAGGAAAAGACTCATGGGTAGGCCTCAGGGACAAATGCACAGGCGAGCTCTTAGGAACTGGTACCTGAGGTCTACAGACTAAGCTTAGGAACAGAGAACTGAAGGAGGGGAGGCCATTTTTCTCTAGCTGCTGTCTGGGTCTACTCCCTGCCTGGTCACACTGCAGCCCTGTCCCCCTGGGGAAAACTCACATCCTGCTGACCGTAGTCCTCGGCCCCTGCGGCCTTTCCGTATTGACAGAACTTGGTTGTGCAGTGCAGCACGCCAGGGGGTCTCTTCCCAAAGTAGGTGATCAGATCGATCTTCTCTTTGTGCTCATCCCCCGAGATAACTGCCGGACAGAGAGGGAGTAGTCAGGGCAGCAGAGCATACCAACACCCACCAGGGAGGCCCGGGGGACAAAGCTCCATTCCGTATAAATTCTAACAGTCCACTACAATTCATTCATTCTTGAGTTGGTCCAAGTCATGCTAACTTTAGAGCTATAAAAAGTACTTAAGGGCTGGGGATGTGGCTCAGTGGTACAGCACTTGCCACATGAGTAATGCCCTGGGTTTGACCCCTGGCACCACAAGAAGAAAAACAGTGTTTAAATTCCCTCTTTTTATACCACGCAGAGCTTTACATCTCTTCCCCCCCAAAATAAGGCATCTAAAACTCAGGGAAAGCAGCACAGGCCAAAGAACGCAGATCCACCAACAGCACGCCTAGCAGGGGAAAGCCATGAAAAATGGGGTGGGAAAAAAAAGAGGGTTAGGAACACTATGGTACACTGGAGAGGGCCAGAGTAGACACAAACATCTGCCGCTGCGAGCCACTGGGCCTGGGCCAAGAGGTTGACCCTCCTCTATCAGTCCACCACAATGATGAGGGTCACCATACACCCCAATTTCCTCAGGACCCTGAGTAACAGTAGGACCCCATTTCACCCAGGGGCTCACTTATAGAGCAGTTATTTGGTGCCCATAACAGCACACCCTGCAGGCTGGTTGGGAGGAGACTTTGCAAAGGGGCTAGGGCAGGAAGGGTCCCTGGGTATAGCAGGATAACATGGCTGGCAGACACCACGAAGGGTGAGTTCATTTCCAGACTCCAAGCTTTGTGGCTATCCTCAGAGTCATGACCTTTAGTCTGCTGGTTCCTAGAGGTTAATCCCTGTGGGCACTGTCACCCTCCATGGGGGTAAAGACCTCTATTCTGAGAGCAGGTTTTATTCCCTGATCATGACATTTCTTTTGCCAAATCCTGGACAGAAAAGCATTCCAGTTTTTATAGTACCAGCAGCTTCAAGCCACAGCCATGCCCAAGCAGGACCTCAGCCCTGCCTCTCCTGGTTCTCCCTGAAGCTCCTCCAGGGAACAAGGCCAACTCTTGCCAGGGCTAGTGCAGGCATGTTTCCTGACAGGATCCAAGCTTTAGGAGCCCAGAATAAAGTTCTTTGAGAACCCAACACAGACACAGAGCACCCACCTCTGATCAGTAAGGGCTAAGTAAAGAAACAGGTTATTTCAAGCATACAGAGGATCTAAAATTGAGGCGAAGGTTGTATCAGAATTGGTTTAAAGTCACAGATAGATTATTGGGTGACACAGCCCTAGTAGGCCACTGAAGAAGAATGAGGCCCACTTAGACCCTTTCCTATCCCAAACCTACCCTATCACTAGACCTGAGAGCCCTTGCGAGGACAGAACCCTGCTGGCGTGGCCAAGGTCCAGGGCTCCAGGTAACAAATCCCATAGCCCTTCTGGGCCTGTTTCTCTTCCATCTGGAAAGCAAAGGATTTGGGACTAGGTGTGAGACTTGGTTCTCTGGAGCCATAAGATGTCACAGAGGTTTGGGGTGCACAAGGTGACCCTGGATGATGTGGACAGGTAAGTCATAACAGTCCTAGTTATAATTTTTTTTTGCAGCTTAGGATTCCATGTAAAATCTTGTTTTGGAACATGGTTCTGCTGTTAAAAACGAATTTGACAACCCTGAACCAGATTCTCTCTCTCAGGTTACATTACATGACGGTATTTCCTGTTAAAACCTACATCCAAGACAGGGGCTGTGTCCAGATCCAGGCTGGGAGAGAGGGACTGGGGGAAACAGAGGAAAGGTGCTCTGGACAGTGCCTCCCATGGTATTTTCACCCTGCATCTACTATGTGTGTATGTGTGTGTGTGATGTATGTGTGTGCGTGTGTGTTTGTAAGAATAGGATTTTTTTCAAGTGTGAACAGAAACAGAACTCCTGCAGGGCAACAGGGGACCCAAGAGGGGTTGCCCTGTTCTACTTGTGTTCCCACCCAAGCTACTCTGTTAAGTGCCCACTTGCTTCTGGCTGGTCCAGGGCAGCTTCCATCTGCCTTCCCCATCTCACCCGACCCTCTGAGTGGGGCTTATGAACAAGGAGATCTGCGCGGAGTTGAGCATCCCTGCCTCCCCGCCTCTGTCCCCCATGCCACCTACAGTGTCGCAGCTCCTTCTTGAAGGCCTTGTGGTTCCCCAGCTCCTCCAGGAAGACCTGGCCAACTTTTCGGAGGATCTCAGAACTCTTACTGGTCAGGAACCAGCCGAAGTAGAGTGGCAGGAAGTCCTTCTCCAGCCCAGGCTTCAGCTTCTTCAGATCATCGGCCGACAGCTGCCACTGGTTCTTCTCTTTGAGCTGGGTACAGTCCAGCCGCCACGCCGTCTTGGGCTCCACCAGCACCACCTGGTACTGGTACTGGTCGGCCAATTCAAAGAGCTGCTCCAGGCGCTCTGGCTCGTGGTTGGTGTCGTCTAGCACGAGCACTCTGATGTTTCGGCGGCAGTAGGCAGCCAGGTCCTCGTCCAGCCGCTTGTACTCCTCGGAGAAGGCTCCGCGGGCACCAGGCGTGATCTTGTAGGCATCGGCAGACACCATCTTGGTGCCATCGTGGTATTTATCCACAATGACCCGGGACAGCGTGGACTTGCCACTCCCTGGCAGCCCTCGCAGGATGAAGAGCGTCTTGCACTCGTGCAGTGCGGCCACCGTATCCTCATCCTGAAGGAAGGGAAACTGCAGCTCGGGCTTGTCCTTGGCCCCGGAGGATGACATCTTTCGAAAGAAGATCTTGGGCAGGAATGTGTGGCTCTTTCGGGAGATGCTTCTGTTCTGTGTAAGGAGGGAAGGGATGTCAGCCCAGGTCTCCTGCAGCCAGCCCAGCAGCCCCTTGTCTCTAGCCTAGGTCTAGAGAGAAGCCCCAGCTCAGGAATCTCTGGGCCTGACTTGAAGCACCCTTGGGTGGTGGGTGCCTTCCCCAGGCAGACCAGTGGTGGCCTTTTTCTCCCTTTAGGTCTGTGTGGCACAAGAGGGAGCCTGTCTGACGCTCCCTAACCTCTTACTCTCCTGGCCTCAAGGATCATCCACTGCTGCCTCTCTGAAAGGGACACTTGGTGGAAGTGCATGCAGGGGAGGCCAGGGCCTGTGCTTCCAGGCCTGGCCCTAACTTTTATATTCCTGGCACCTCTTAAGGATGTTCCCTTTGGAGGCTGGGGACTCTGTCTGGGCAAAGACACAGCTGCCCTGGCTGTGTGTGTACAAAAAAGAGTGTGGGGGTGGAGGAGGGTCACCCAAAGACCGCCTCCCTTCCCCCAACAATGGCAGCAACAGATAATACTCTCTTGTCTGGTATGGGGGGACAATGGTCCCACAGAGGGCTAGTGGGGGGCAGGGCAGGAAAGCACTGGACAAAGGGCCTCATTCACCGCCTACCATCTCCTCCTCTGCCCTCTCGCAGGCCCCCTACAAAGTCGAGGTCTTTGTGCCTGCTCTAGGACTAGGAGGCACAAGACACCTGTGTTCAGGATCTAGCTCTGCCCTCCATTTTGCTGTGTGCCAGCAGCACCTCTCTGAGCCTCTTCTTTTCCTGTTTGCTAAAAGCAACAAGTGACTAACAGTTTTTACTGTAAATATCTTCTCCGCACTGGCTCTGCCTCCCATCTGCATCTTGAGAGAGATTAGGTGGCCTACTATTCCATCAGAAGGGTACTGCCGCAATCTTGGGGCTCGTGGATCCTCTAACCCAGACCCAGGTCCACCCTCCAGCTGGGTGTCCCCGGGAAGCAGCAGTTGGGGCCTTTCCCAAATTCTTTCCTCCTAAATATCACCGTTTCCCTTCTCCATGGGCGTGCGCGTTCCCCCAAGCTTCCTCCTACCTTCGGGCTGCCCTGGAGTCACCAGAAAGCTGGAACTCAACTCCGGAACTTCGAGTCCTCATTTGCATAGCACATCCTCCCAAGAATCCTCAAATACTCTCGCTTTCCGTTACGATACCCCCCCCCCCCCCCCCCCCGCGCCCGGCCCGGCCCTCTCTCCCGTCCACACGTCAGCTCACCATGATGAGTGGGGGGCGCCTCCGTCCCGCCTTTGCAGGCACTAGCTCTCCGGAGCCACCCGCCTGCGCGAGGGACACGGCGTCTCGCGGTGACCCACCCCAGGCCCGGCCGCTTTACATAGCCCGGGGGCGGGGCTGCGGCCGACCCTCTGCGCAGGCGCCGCTAATCGAAACTCAAACCACCCTCCGCGCCGGGAAGGAGCTCCAGGCCCTGCCTCGCGCAGCTGCACACCTGGGCTGCACCTGCGCCCCCGGGAGCCACCGATCGGCCTCTTCTGCTTAAACATGTTAAGGATTAATTCTTCTCTTTCTTTCTTTCATTTTCTTTTGCTGGGATGTGAACCCAGGGCCTGGTGCATGCTCTATCACTGAGCTACGTCCTCAGCCCCCATTAATGATTAATTCTTGTACTAGGGTCTTAATCACCTTTCCCCAGCAGCCCCATGGGATTAGGATTCAGTGAGAGAGATAGGGTCTAAACTGCAGAATAGGATCCTGTCTTTAAAATTTGATATTTATCGTGCGCCTTTGCATTTATTCATTGATTTTTGCAACAGTTCTTTAAAACTTGATCTGTGCGGTTGGGGTGTAGCTTAATGGTAGAGCTACTTGACTAGTATACAGGAAGCCCTGGGTTCCATCTCCAGCACCGCAATCAATCATAATAAAAATTTTAAGTGGGGAGCTGGGGCTGTAGCTCAGTGGTAGAGCCTTTACCTAGCATGTGTGAGGCACTGGGTTCGATCATCAGCACCACATAAAAATAGATATAATTTTTTTAAAATATTTATTTTTTGGCTGGGCACAATATCTTTTTTTTTAAGAGAGAGAGAGAGAGAAGAGAAGAGACAGAGAGAGAGAGAATTTTTTAATATTTATTTTTTAGTTTTCGGCGGACACAACATCTTTGTTTGTATGTGGTGTTGAGGATCGAACCCGGGCCGCTCGCATGCCAGGCGAGCGTGCTACCACTTGAGCCACATCCCCAGCCCTGGGCACAATATCTTTATTGTATTTATTTTTATGTGGTGTTGAGGATCAAATCCAGGTCCTTGCACATGCTAGGCGAGCACTCTACCACTGAGCCACAACCCCAGCCCATAAAAATTTTTTTTATTTTATTTATTTATTTATTTATTTATTTTTAATTTTTATTGTTGGTTGTTCAAAACATTACATAGTTCTTGATATATCATATTTCACACTTTGATTCAAGTGGGTTATGAACTCCCATTTATACCCCGTATACAGATTGCAGAATCACATCAGTTACACATCCACTGTTTTACATATTGCCATACTAGTGTCTGTTGTATTCTGCTGCCTTTCCTATCCTCTGCTATCCCCCCTCAAAAAATTTTTTTAAATGGAAAAAAAAAAGAAATTGTCTAGTTTTTGGTCACTGCGGTAAATTTTGCAACCACCTCACGTTTCCTGAACATAGTCCTGGCTCCTTTTCAGCAAAAGTCAGCCTCATCCCTGACCCAGGACCACCGTGGTAAAGGAATTACCCTCTTTGGCCAACTGCTAGGCCGCCACCTCCCCAGTAAAGCCATTGAATGCTTGGATTTTTTAGAGTTTCTTTGCACTCATAATTCTCAGGTCAATCCTGGAGGCAGGTTCCTTGTTGTACAGAGGAGGAAACAAGCTTTAGTGGCCTGATTTACTTGATTGGACCACCCAGAGGTGGCAGAGGTGGAGTCCCTCTGCAGCACCTACTCCCAGGCTCCCCTGCTATTCTGTGGCAGAAGCCATCTCTCTTCCTCTGGGTCCTTAGAGCAACCACCAGCACCAGCGTTCCCTTCGTTCCTTTCATTCTGCTTTGGGGCCTAGTCAGCCCACAGTATGATTGCTGATGATGGCTGAGGCCTTTCCAGCCAACACTGATCCTTCCTGTGGTGTGGTCTTCCAGTCCTGCACTCAGTAGGTCCTTGCTGGGTGAACCAGGGGCTAGGAGCTGGGTAGACACACCACTACTCCCAGGCCGTTCTCTTTTCCTTCTCCCTTAAAACTTTCTGGTTTCCAGTCTAGCACAGTGGCACAACCCGGGAGGTTGTGGCAGGAGGATCGCTAGTTCAAGCCCAGCCTCAGCAAGGCCTTAAACAACTTATTGAGACCCTGTCTCAAAATTAAAAATAAAAAAGGGTTGGGGACATAGCTCAGTGGTAAAGTGTCCCTGGGTTCAATCCCTAGTACCAAAGAATAATAACGACTATAACTTTCTGGGTTCCCTGGAGCTCACCTGCTTCTTCACCTGTCTGAGATCACCTTTCTCATTTCTTCCATGAGGCTCTTCTGAAAACGGGTGGGAGTGAGGGGGCAAAATGATATTTAGGGTTTGCAAAAGTGAAAGATACATATTTAATGAGAAATTAGTGATAGAAAGAGGTAGAGGTGACCTGTGGGAACCTGTTTCCCATTCCCCCCCCCCATCAAAAACACATCTCAGCTTGAAAATCCAGTTAAGAGGAGTCGTGGCCCTCGAGCACCAGCCTCCTGCTAATGCCTGGTAAGGCAGGCTTCACTCTACTCCTTTTCCATTTCTTCGGCAATTTTTGTTTCCTCCGCTTCCACTTCTTCTTTTTCTTCTGTTTCCCCCGGTTCTTTCTCTCCTGAACTTACTTCAGAAACTCTTTTCTCCAGTCTTTCTGAGGCCTTTGTGCTTAATTCTCCGGAAATCTCTTGGTCTAATTCTGAAGGCCGCCTGTAAATTTCCCTGGACTCTCTCCTGTCCACCTCCAGCAGCGTCCTGCCCTCCGACACTCTCCTGGAATCTTCCCTGAAGCTTCTTCTGGCTTTCTCTGCCTTCTGTCTCTGAGAATCGTCCTTGAATTCCTCGTCCTCTGTGTCTCCGTCGCTCTCCCCTTGCTCCCTTTCCCAGCTCTTCATCACCTTCTTGGTGTCCTCCCTCCCTTTCTTCCCTTCCTTCTCCTTCGCCTCCACTGTTCTGTCTTCATTCAGGGCAGGGGCCTCTTCTGAAAAACAGCACAAAGAAGGGAAGAGAGGTGAAGGCCTGGTCATCACTACGTCTGTGGAGGCCTTTGCTCCTGAGAGAAAAGCCCCGAGACTGTTTTCACATGCTCCTTCCCTTGGTGTTGATGGACCCCTTCCCAAAAGGAGGAAAGGGGACCATCACTCCTTGATCACGCCACCCCACGTGGCAGCATGTGAGGGGCCAACACCCTTCCAACAGGAAACTGCACAGTGTTGGAATCTGCAGTCAAAGGACTCCAGACCCGCAAAAGAAAATCACACGATGGTCACTGCAAGTACAGAAGAGTCGAGCTGAATGTAGGATGGTCCAACCCAAGAGCCTGTGTTCTCTTCCCTCCCTTCCCTGTGGAAAGTAGCCTAGGTGCTGGGAAATGGCGGCAGATTCTTTTCTCCACTATCCTCCTTCAGCCATATTCTCTTTTTCTCTGGGAAGTGTGTGTGTGTGTGTGTGTGTGTGTATATATATATATATATATATATATATATATATATATATATATATATACACATATATATATTTCTTTTTGGACTGGGAATTGAACCAGAGGTGCTTTAGGGTAGTTTACTCTTGAGCTACATCCCCAGCCCTTTTTAATTTTGAGACCGGATCTCGCTAAATTGTTTAGGGCATCGTAAATTGCTGAAGCTGCCTTTGAACCTGCACTTCTCCTGCCTCAGCTTCCCGAGCCTCTGGGATTACAGGTGGGTGCCACCATGACAGGAACATATTTATCGTTTGTTAAGAGGGTTCCTGTAAAAATATGAAAAGGCTGCCAGCAGCAGGATCAGCTAGAGAGCTGCTGTTTTATGACCAAAGGGATTCTCACTCCTTGTTTTTAACAGTTACAGAGAAAAGTCACCAATCCCCTCCTGAATCCTTCATTCTCTTTCTGGAAGCTGCTGGGTTCCCAGCCACAGGACTGAGGCTCTCTGCCATTGGAGGTGAAAAAATAAGCAATGCTGCCACCTGCTGTTCTGAGAAGGAAGTGCCAGGAGTGCCCTTGGCCACAGTGTCTTCAGCATGAGGACCCCAAAAGACACTTTCCCTAGTGTGCAGCCTGCAGAAGGGTGGAAGGGCTGCTTGGAGCATCTGCCATTTCCCATCTGCCCCTTCTATTTTCACATCTATCACTCCTGTGGCTTCTTAGAGCAGCTCTGAGGGCTGCTGAGGGGATTCAGCTGCCACGTGGCAGGCGCCAGATAACAGAACTGTCACGTGGCTGTTCTGGTGTCTAGAAACCTCTTGCTGCTATGACCTGGAGGACCAGAAAGGATGGATCCTTGGAGCCTGGAGGGTGTTAGCCAGGAATCTGCCCTGGACTCTGTCCTCCTGGACCACCGCCCCCACCCTCCACTGCAATATGGCTGAGGTAAGGGGCGCACTCCACAGACGGAAGCAGACAGGCCATCTGTCACCAGAAACAGTGTGGAGCCATGGTAAAAGCACAGATTCCAAAGTCAATATTGAAAGCCACTGTGGATTTTTAACCCCACTGCCTCTGTGTCCTCATCTATCAAATTAAGCTAAATATACTTTTTTTTGGCAGTGTTTTGGGAAGGCTAGGGAGTCAGTGCGTACAGAGCCCTTAGAAGAAGGGCTGGCCCAGGGAAGGCCCTGAATGGATGGAGACCAGCTGCTACTCTCAGCCCAGTTCCTTTGGACGTGCCCATCCTCTGCCTCTCTTCCCTCACTCCTTCCCCGTGGGCAAGGGCAGCCTGGAGACAGAGGGTCACAGACGGCTACTCCCTGAAGCCTTCTGAGAAACAGTGCTGTCAGGCCCCGCTGTTAAGCAAAATAGTGGCCTCTGCACTCCAGCCTCGCAGGAGCCCCTTTGCCTGGAAGTGCCACCATGCACAGGAGCAAGAGCACACAGCAGAGGGGGCTCTGAGCGCTGACAGGTTGGGCACAGAGCCCCACCCACAGTGGGCCCAACCCTCCCCAGTCCTCTGCTAGGGAAAGGCTGTGGCTGCAGAATCAGAAGGCCCTGTGGACAGTGCCACCCTGGCTGGGGGAGCTGCTGGAAAGTGTGGCCAGGACTGCTGGGAGAGAAGACCCGGGAGGACACTGGAGTTGCCCTTTGGGGGTTCCGGGGACGCACCTTTGTCTTTGAGCATCTCCCTGTAGTTAGTTTTCTTCAGTTCTTCCACGATGCCCTTGTTGGCATCATCCAAGGCCTATGGAGAGCAGAGGGGCTGGTGAACGCTCTGAACCCCTGTTTGCCATCTGCATCTTTTCCTTTCCCTTCCCAAGCCTGGGGACTGGAAGGCAGGGCTCAGGCGAAACCCCGCCACCTTGGGTTTCCTTCTGCACCGGGGTTAGTGCATGAGAAACACGTGGCTGGAAGTCAGTCCAATTCATTCCTCCTGGGCTTAGGCATTCATTGGGAGTTTGGTTGGTCTGCTATCTTCTACCCTTTTACCTAATGCCACTCTTGGCTTCACTCAGTGTCCAAAGATAACCCAAGCCTCTGAACACTCAGCGAGGCAGCCAGCCGAGGAGGGGACGAAGGGCTGAGGCTTCAAAAGGGGCTTCCAGGACATGTGCAGTTTCCTTAGCTCAAGTTCAATTCTCAGGGCTCAGCCTGTGTGCTTTCTCTCTATATATTTGTTTTGGAAGTGCTGGAGATGTCACCCAGGAACTGAAGCATGCTAGGAAAGTGCTCTCTACTCCTGATCCAGACCCCCAGCCCATTTTTTTTTTTTTTTTTTTGTAAAATGGAGGTCTTGGAGGTCTCAAGGTCTCCCTATGTTTGTTGCCCAAGCTGGCGTGGAGTTCCCTGGCTCAAATGATCTTCCTGCCTCAGTTTCCTGAGTAGCTGAGACCACAAGCTCATGCCACTGTGCCCTGCCTGTGCATCTGGAAGGCATCTTTGGCCTGCCTCCTCTCAGGGTCCCAGTGGTCTGCCCTGTAAGTTCCTGCCCAGAGATGCCCATCCAGGTGGGTGAGGGATCAGGTTCCTGGTCCAACAGGAAGTTGCTAAGAGCCAAGTAACTCCCTTCAAATTACTGCCTAGCCTTCAAGGTGACCTCAAATCCTCTTGCTGGGAAAGCCTCCAGCCTGCCTCAGGGGACACTGGGCTCTCACTCTGAATTCCCCTGGTTCCTCACGGTGCTGGTCACAAACCAGGGTTTTTGATTTTTGGGTTTCTTTGCACCTTACCCACCCCATACTGGGGACTGAACCCAGGGTGCTGTACCACTGAGCGACATCCTCAGTCCTTTTGATTTATTTTTTAAATTAGTTTTTTAATATTTTTAAAATATTTTTTAGTTGTCCATGGATCTTTTATTTATTTATATGCAGTGCTGAGAATTGAACCAGTGCCTCACACATTGCTAGGCAAGCACTGTACCACTGAGCCACAACCCCAACCCCCTCCTTTTGATTTTTTAAATTCTGAGACAGGGTCTCACTAAGTTGCTTAGGGCCTTGCCAAGTTGCTGAGGCTGGCCTCAAACTTGTGATCCTCCTGCTTCAGCCTTCTGAGTCACTGGGATCGCAGGTGTGCGCCACTGCACCCAACTGGTGCTTTTGTTTAAATCTTCCTGCTGACACAGTTTCTTGTGAGCCAAGAGCATAGCCAGACACTTTGGGCTTGACAACCAATACTGAATACTGCTCAGTAAATGTTTTCTGAGTTGAATCGCCATGCTGTCTGCTTGCAGGCTGTTCACGCAGAAGAGAATTAAGCAGGAGGGACCCTGCATGTGAATTGTGAAGCAGAGGAGCACGTGGCAGGGCTTTAGTGACCTGGGTGCTCTTCCCCCAGAGGTCAGAGTTACAGGCAGGATGTGTACTACAGCTGTCCCTCAACAGAAGGACAATGATGTGTTGCCCTGGGGTGTGTGGAAACAGGGGACAGCCTGGGACCCGTGGGGCCTGTTGGGAGTGTTTTCTTGCCAATAGCACAACTGGCCTAACTAGCCTCTCACAAGACCCAGTGTGTCAGGTCACTTCTCTGTCATCCCTGCCCTCCAGTCCAGCTGGCAGGCTGACCCCACCCTGCTGCCTTCGTGACCCCTACAGCCCGTGAGTCCAGGCCCAGCGTCTCCTCTGCTGGCCTGAGGAAACCCTCGGTTTCCTCCAGCTTCTCTTCAGGCCCACCGGCTGTCACACCCTCAGTGTTCTTGCCTCGTGGCCTGTGCCCTTATCTTTGCCTGGAATGTTCTAAACTCTCCTTCACTTGGCTAACTTCAACCTCAGGTTTCAGCTTGGATGTCCCTTCAGGGGGCCTGACCAACCCCTGCCATCCCGAGGCAGCCACGAGGCCCTGCTCCAAACAGAAGTGTTAGGGTCCCTGCTCCTTTCCCAAGGTCCTGCTGCTGAGGGTGGCTAATGGCTGCTTCCTGAGTAGGTCAGGACAATTCTAATAGAGTGATGTGGACTTTCACAGGGACACAGATGGCTGGGGAAGGGAAATGTCACCTCACCCAGACCAAGGGGTCAGAGAAGGCCTCCTGATGGGACATCTAAGCTGAAACCCGAGGTTGAGTGGAAGTAGCCAAGTGAAGGTGAGTTTAGAACATTCCAGGCAATGATAAGGGCACAGGCCACGAGGCACAGGAGAACCTGCTCAGGAAAAGCCGGGGCTGGTTTGAGCTGAAGCTGAAATGCAAGGGGTGGGGTGGGGACTGGCCTGCTTGGACAGCGCAAGAGCCACAGGGTGGGGAGAGGCCACCAGAGGCTCTTCCACCTCCCAGAGAAAAGCCAGGAACCTTCTTCCAGACACTGAGAACCAACAAAGGGTTGAAACAGGAAAAAGAGGAATTCACACTGTACTTCCTGTTGTCTCTTGGATGAGGTGGCAATTTTCAAACTGCAAGTCCTAAAATCAGTTTAGTAGGTCTCAGGCGGCATTAGATGAAATAAAATGGAAAGCCAGATATGATGGCACGTGCCTACAGTTTGGGCTACTCAGGAGGCTGAGGCACAAGGCTTGCTTGAGTGCAGGAAGTCAATGCAAGGTTGGAACACAGAGTGTGCATCACCCCATCTCTCTCTCTCTCTCTCTCTCTCTCTCTCACAGTACTAGGGATTAAATCCAGAGCCTCACACGTGCTACATGCTAGACAAGTGCTCTCCCACTGAGCTACATCCCCAGCCTTTTTTACATTTGATTTTGAGACAGGGTCTTGCTAAATTGCTGAGGATGGCCTTGAACTTGGATCCTCCTGCCTCAGCCTTTTGAGTAGCTGGGATCTAGGCAGACGTCACTGTGCCCAGATTGCCCCTGTATCTTTAAAAATAAAAGACAATATGAAATAGCAATGCACATCATACACAGGGGAGGTAAAAATGTTCTGTAAAACTTTTTCTGGTTTTTTGTTTGTTTGTTTCAAATACAATGATGCATGTAAGGTTGCTGAGAGGTTTCAGGGTAGGGACAATGCACAGTGGCAGCCACACTGCAGAGTCATCAGCCTGCCTAGCAAGTGCCTATGGGCAGTGGATAATAAGCTGCTATGAGCGGCCAACTGAAAAGGCTGAGGGGAGCCCCAGCCCCACTGCCCACTCCCAAGGCCCAGCTGGGGGACCAAGGCTCACGCTGATGATGGCCTGCTGTGCCTCGTTGTTATGGACCAGCTTCGCTCTCTCCAGGGCCTTCTCAAAATTGTTCACAGCCGACTCGAAGTCTTGCAGCTTTACTGGAAAGCAAGGGGGAGACACAGCACAGGGAGACTGTGATATTTTATGTCGCAAGATGGAGGCCCTGGCCTGCCTGGCCACACCCAGGGCCTGAGAAGCCTGAGGGGCTAGATGGAGTCAGCCCCAGGGCATGGGCAGCACCACTGAGATGCCCAGTCCCATCTCACCCGTGAGGACTGGAACTGACAGGCCTGAGCCTTAGAATCTACCCTTCAGAGGGGTCAGTGAGGGAAGGGGTTTCAGGATAGGGACAATGCACACATCATGTGTCTCCAGGGTGGTGGACACAACCCCATCCTGTTCCATCTTTATATTTTTCTAGAAGAGGAAATCCATACTTTAAAAATGGTCAAGTTTTTCACACTCTGCCCAAACCAATGGGTGCAGTGGCCCATGACTGTAACCCGGCTAACAGGACAGACAAGGCAGGAAGATCACAAGGTCCAGGCCAGCCTTGGCAACTTAGTGAGACCTTGTCACAAAATTAGAAATAAAAAGGGCTGGGAGCTGGGCGTGATGGCACACACCTGTAGTCCCAGTGGCTCTGGAGGCTGAGGCAGGAGGATCGAAAGTTCAAAGCCAGCCTCAGCAACTTAATGAGGCCCTAAGCAACTTAGTGAGACCCTGTCTCTAAAATACAAAAAAGAGCTGGGGATGTGGCTCAGTGACCCCGAGTTCAATCCCAGGTATTCCCTGCCCCCCGCAAAAGAACTTCAGTTCAGGGAGGAAGGAAAAGCACTAACCAGCCAGGGTCTTCCCAGATGCTCCCCACCCCCCAATTAATGGGAATGGAATACAGGGTCATTTTACTATTGAGTTATATCCTCTGTCCCCAGCCTTTTATTTTTATTTTTTTTAATTTGAGACAGGGTCTTACTAAGTTGCTGAGGCTGGCTTTGAACTTGCAATCCTCCTGCCTCGGCCTCCTGAGTAGTGGGGATTATAGACAAACATCGCTGCTTTCTTTATAACTGTGCACACCCAAGATTCACCCCTTCCCAAGTATTGCTTTGGGATTCATGGAGGAAGGAGGATCTGTGTCCATAAGTCAAATTTTAAAAGGAGATCCAAATGTAATTCTGAAAATATGCAGAGCCACAGTAAGTGAGGTCAAATATATATTTTTTTCAAATACACATTAGAGATGGAGAATCAGTATTCATTCAGAGACAGTGGCACATTCCTGTAATCCCAGCTACTCAGGAGGCTGAGGTAGGAGGATTGTAAGTGTGAGGTCAGCCTGGGCAACTTAGTGGAACCCTGTCTCAACATAAAAATATAAAAAAGGCCTGGGGATGTTAAGCACCCCGGGGTTCAATCCCTGAAAAAAAAAAGCTTGAGGGGCTAGGGTTGTGGCTCAGCGGTAGAGCGCTCACCTAGCATGTGCGAGGAGCTGGGTTCGATCCTCAGCACCACATAAGAATGAATGAATGAATGAATGAATGAATGAATGAATAAATAAATAAATGGTATTGTGTCCAACTACAACTAAAAAAAAAAAAAGCTTGAGTAAAAGATACCTAGCAAGCAAGAGCCAGTGGCTTAATACATGGACACTATTACCATGGTTTGGATATGGTTTAAATGTCCCCCACAAAAAAAAAATTAGTATGTTAGGAGCCCAGTCCCAGTGTGGTGATGTGGGAGCTTAAAGAGGTGAGGCTTAGGGTAAGGTCACTGGGAACCCTACCCCAGAGGGATTAAGGCGGTTCTCAGGCAACTAACTATTTGGTAGTTTTCTTGAGAAAGTTGTTATAAACCCTTGAAGATGGCGTCCCCCAGTCCTGTGACTTCCTGTTTGGCAACACGATTGCTTGTCCAGTATGTGCTTCTGCCACTGCAATATGCCATGAAATGATACAGTCAAGTAAGAATTCCTCACCAGGGACTGGGGCTGTAGCTCAGTGGACAGCACTTGCCTAGCATGTGTGAGGCACTGGATTCCATCCTCAGCACCACATAAAAATAAATAAATAAATAAAATAAAGGTATTGTGTCTACCTACAACTATAAAAAAGAAGAAGAAGAAGCCCTTGTCAGATCAGGCTGGGCAGGCAGCAACCAAAGGAGGCAGATTTAAAAGGGCCGCTGAACAGGCTTTATTGAGACATCACTCCCGGGCGGAACTCGATCAGACCCACAGAGGGGACAGGAGAAGGGTCTGAGGAGAAACCGCGTGGAAGCTCGACCAGACTGGACTTTTATGGGGCTTACAGCAGGAAGGGAAGGGCTTGGGACAGGAAAAGGTGTCTCTAGGGTCCCTTGCCCCCTTGGAGTTGGTCAGGGGAGTTGGCTGAACTCCAGGATTGGCCAGGGGGTCCTGCTGATTGACAGGCGTTAGTCAGGAGATCTGGCTGATTGACAGGTGTTTCTGCCGGCATCTGATTGATGTTCAAAGCAGTGTGGGCTGCTTTGTTCTATGTTGCCACTAAGTCGCCACCAAGTCGCTGCCACTGACCTAACAGCCCTCACCAGAGCCCAGTCAATGCCAATGTCAGGACCTCAAATCTTCAAAACTATAAGCTAAAAATACCTCTTTTCTTTATAGAGTAGCCTGTCTTAGGTAATTAGTTGTAGTAATGTAAAACTGACTAATAATTTGAGGATGGCATGATGCTGTGTTGGTCTGCAGCTCCTTGCTCTTGAGGTATCCCTAATCAAACTTTGCTTAAACCAAGCCAGCCTGAGGATGGCAGCTGGGCCTGAAGGCTGTTCATCTCTGAGCCTGTTACCTTGTGCCTGTGCCACCAAAACGCTGGCGTTCAGCTGCCACTCAATGTCCCCTTCTTCCTCGGCACATTGCTGAGACTTCTCACCATAATTCTGAGCCTGCCAGGCCTGGTCCAGCTCCAAGTAACAGCGGCCAATCTCATGGAACAACCAGGTCTTCTCCAGGGTAGTTTTAGCCAGAGGGATCTTCTCTTCCCACCTGGTGACATGAAAAACCAGGGTCAGCTTCTTTCCTTAAAATTCTGCTATCAGCCACAGGAGACCAAGGCTTCCTGCTAGGTGACAAAATAAGACTCATTCTTAACCTTCAGCCCAGGTGTGCAGTTAATTAGCATTAACATATTTCAAAACTACTAAACTATTTTGGTAATATCAATGGGATGGGAGGGGCTGGGGTTGTGGCTCAGTGGTGGGGTGCTTGCCTCACATGTGTGAGGCACTGGGTTCAATTCTCAGCACCACAAATAAATAAATGAATAAAATAAAGGTCCATCAACACTAAAAAATATTTTAAAAAATCAATGAGATCAAATTTGGCACAACCCTGGAAAATAATGTTTAAAAGTAGCATGTGAGCTAGGCCCACACATGTAATCCCAGCAACTCAGGAGGATCACAAATTCAAGTCCAGTCTCAGCAACTTGGCAAGACCATGCTCAAAACAAAGAAATAAATAAATAAAAATAGCTAGAGATGCAGCTTAGTGGTAAAGCACCCTCGGTTCAAACCCAGTACCAATAAATAAATGAATAAATGAAGACAGCACTTGAAATAACATCAAAATAATGTTTAAGAATTTTAAGTACCTATGAGAGAAAAATTGGCACAGAAAAAAGACCAGCATGAAAAACAAAAAACCCAAGTACTGGTCTTTGGGTGGTGGGTCTAATATTTTCTTCTACTTTTCTCTATTCTCCAAATTAATATTTAACAATAAGCATCTTTTATTATAAAACAGTTTATTACAACAAGATACTAATGGGTGGGTAAACACTGATCCTCCTCTTTCAGCCACAGACACCAAAGGCAGGCTATCAGGAGACTGAATCATGTGGAAAGAAGGTAACTGGTAAACAAGTCTTTGGATCAAGCAACAGGGGACCGACGGCCTATTTCTCTCCAGGAAGGGTGGGTGAGCCCAGGAAGCAGGTTCTCCCAGGTCTGGGCCTCCCCCATGGCTTCCTAGGACTAACCGCTAGCCCCTGCCCCAGAAGCTAACTAGCCCCAGGGCTGGACATCAGAGTTTGGCAGTCAGGCCACCTGGGGAGTTCAGATACTGTCCTCAGTGAATCCACAGGACCACACAGTCACACAACAGCCTCAGAGGAAGTCTCAAGGGTCGCTTTGTCCACTGTTTTTGAACTGCCCAAAGGTAAGAATCACCTGGAGTGTGGTTAAAAAAGAATTTCTGAAGCCATGCATGGTGCCAGACAACTGTAATCCCGTGACTCAGGAGGTTGAGGCAGGAGGATTGCAAGTTCAAGGCCAGACTCAGCAACTTAGGGAGACTGTGTCTCAAAATAAAAAATAAAAAAGGCTGAGGATGTGGCTCAGTGGTAAAGTACCCCTGGGTTCAATCCCCAGTACAGAAAAAAAAAAAAATTCTGAGCCTCAACCCTGACTTGTAGAATGAGAATTTTCAGCAAAGAAGCCAAGCAACTCTCAAATTTTGGGGTACTGGGAACTGAACCCAGGGATGTGTTATTACTGCGCTAAATACCCAGCCTTTTTAATTTTTGAGACAGAGTCTCACTAGGTTGCTTAGGGCCTCACTAAATCAGTAAGGCTGGCCTTAAATTTGTGATCCTCCTGCCTCAGCCTCCTGGGCGACTTGAATTACAGGTATGCACCACCGCACCTGGTGCCCAGTACTCTTAGACCTAACAAGTACTCCAGGTGATTCTGATCACTAGGAAACTGAGAAAATGCTGATTCTATTCCATAAATTCTATGAATTTAACTGAGGAGGCTCAGAGCTTTAAATGGTAGAGTACCTGCTTTACACGTGCAAAGCTGTGGCTTTGATCCCCCCTGACAAAAAGATTGGCTTGCCAATCAATCGTCACCTAGCAGAGCCAGGAGCCAACCCCCATCCCTCTTCTGAAGTCTCCTTGCCTGACATTCTGGCCCTAGGCTAGAATCCCCACGTGAGGGCAGGAGGTCCCAGCCCTGGTGTGGGGACTGATCACTCACGTGTCAATGGCTTGCTGGAATTTCCCAACTCTGGCAAAAACCCTGCCAATGTTGTCAAGGGCTCTTGATTTTGCATCAGGAAGGTCACTGTGGGGAAGAAGCAAAACAAGCTGTTTTCGAGAGAAGAGCTGTGACAGGCACCACAAAATAGAAAAAAAAAAGGCAAAAGCAGGGCCCTGGCCTCGGGGACTCAGGGTTCCAGGTGGAGACTCTGATGGCCTTTATCAGCACCTTCCTGGAGGGTCATCAATCAATAACTTTCAGAGATCCCCTCTGATCCAGCAATTTCCCTTCTAGAAATTTACTTCAAGAAAATAGTGTGACAAGATCATTCATTAAAGTGATGATTATTTTGGAAACAATCTGAATGTCATCCACGCTCTAACAATGGCAATTTTTAGTGATGAAAAAAAGTCTGTGATATACTTAGTTAAAAAGTCAGATTACTGGAGCATAGACTTTGTATGTTGCCTGTGTTAAAAAACAGTGCAGCTCGGGGCTGGGGCTCAGTGGTAGAGAGCCCAGTGTGAGGCACTGGGTTCGATTCTCAGCATCGCAGAAAAATAAATGAATAAAACAAAGGTCCATTAACATCTAAAAAAATAATAATGATGCAGCTGGAAGCATTTGCTGTGCTCTGAGGGTGCAGCAAGGGAACAGGATGCAAAATGCATCGTCCCCTCCACCTCTGCAGGGAACACAGCACTGGGATTTTTTTTTTTTTTTTTTTTTTTTTTTAGTGCTGGGGAATCAAACCCAAGGCCTTGTGCATGCAAGGCAAGCACTCTAGCAACTGTGCTATATCCCCAGCCCAGCACTGTGATTTTGACCCCGTGAAATTGATTTAATTCACAGAACTGAAAGAGAATAGATGTGTGCTGTTTTAAGTTATCAGAAAAAAAAAAGTGGACTCTTTTTTTGGTACTGGGAAATGAACACGGGGACACTTTACCACTGAGCCACATCCCCAGCCCCTTTTTGTATTTTAGAGACAGGGTTTTGCTGAGTTGCTTAGGGCTAAGTTGCTGAGGCTGGCTTTGAACTCACAATCCTCCTGCCTCAGTCTCTGAGCTGCTGGGATTACAGGTGTAAACCACTGTGCCTGGCTCTCATTCTTTTTTTTTTTTTTTTAACACAGAAATCATTGCTTTTGGGCTGGGGATGTGGCTCAAGCGGTAGCGCGCTCGCCTGGCATGCGTGCGGCCTGGGTTCGATCCTCAGCACCACATACAAACAAAGATGTTGTGTCCGCAGAGAACTAAAGAATAAATATTAAAAATAAAAAATTTTTTTTTAAAAAAAAGAAATCATTGCTTTTGCTTTGAAAATCCTGTGCATGTGTATTAGCATGTAGGTAAGCACAAGAAAAGGGACCAGAAGGACACTTTCTAAGGAGACCCAAGGGAAGTGAGCAGAAGGGTGGGGGGGACTTTCAAGCTTTACCCTCAGTACCACCCAGTTCCCAAACAAGCTAACATGGTAGTGCTTGTGTAAAACCTACTCCCTCCTGGGCCTCAGCAGCTGCAGGCTGGCCCGCTCAGGATGGCATTGGCTCTCCATGAGTCCTGGCTCCCAGCCCAGCCACGCTATCTGCGGTTCCCCAAACCGCCCATTCTCTCTGCCTAGGGCACCCTTCTCCTTCCCCGGGCCCACCCTGATAACCCACCTGTCTTCTCTGAGGTTCCCCACCCACAGTGCTCCTGCCTGTCCCTCGCCTTGGCCCCTCAGCACCTCTGCTTGGTCTCCCCTCCCCGAGCAAGCACTGTGTCATGGGATGGTGCACAAACACGCTGTCATATACAAATTTATCCCTGATATTAATATGGAATGAGAACTCACAGCTATGAGAAGGCAAGCAACCAAACCTACAAGCTTCAGGGAAACAAAAAATGAGAGCTGGGCTGGACAATAAGGGGCTCATCAGGAAGGGGCCGATTAGAATGGGGGACAGAGAACGCACTTGTAAGACCAGTGCTTCTCGGTGAGGCTGGTTCCTGGATGTTAGAAGAAAGAGCATTGTTAAGGAACACCTCTGTTTACTTAGTCACTTGCACACACTTGCTAGGTGCCCATTATGTAGCTCCTTCCAAGGTCCAAAGTCTAAGAGGGCCAGGTGTGAACGGTGAGGGAGGGAGGAACAGGGAAGCCTCCTGGGCTTCTTCCCTGGGGGAGTGAGAGGCTTTTGGGTTAGGGAACCTCAGAACAAGAAGTTTGGGAAAAAGAAAACGGGCTCTTATTTGGCCATATTCATCTGGGACATCCAAAGGGAAATGCCTTGGAGTCAGTGGACAGGCAGGTCTTGGCTTGGCCAAGTCGGGCAAGAAGTAAAGATCTGAGTCACTAGTGAATGGTAGCTGGTTGGATCCAAGGAACCACCTACACACATCTTATTTAATCCTCAGGATCCCTGTCAGTTGGCATCATCATGCCTTCCTGAAAGACGAGGAAACTGAGGAGATTGCTTAAGATCCACACAGCTTTATGTAGCAGAGCCAGGAATCAAAGACACATCTGTCTCCAACCCTGGGGTCCCTTCTTCACACTTCTGGAATGGCCAATACAGGACATCTCTCAAGGTCTTGGTTCAATCTCTAGTACTGCAGGAAAAAGAAAGGAGAGGAGGGAGGACCCCATCTGGGGCCAAGGAAAGAGGGGAAGGCTGGAGGCCCAACCTTCAGAGAGACTGGAGCCCCCTGGAGGGCTGTTCTAGGAGGACCCTGCAGGAGTGCGTTTGGAGAGAGCCTGGGGGCCAACCACCGCAAAGAGAGACCATTCACTGCCTGCTTCCCACCAGGGATGGAGAGCTGACAGACAAAGGGCAGATCTTCGGAGATCTGTGGGAGCAGCAGCAGCAAGGCTGGGAGCTGAGTGAACGGGGTTCTGGGAGACCAAGAGGGAGGCAGAACTGTGGGGAAAGGAGGAACTGGACAGTAGAGTGGACAAGGACTCCAAGGGTTAGAACTAGGATGCTCACAAAGGGAGGACCCTCCTACCAAGCCCTCAGCTCATATCTGGGAGAGTTGATGGTGTAATTATCAACGCCAGACGCTCTTCCCAGGCTTTGCTTCGTTTTGCAGTGTTGGGATGGAACACAGGCCCCTGCACATGCGAGGCATGTGCTCTGCCACTGAGTCACATGCCCTACGAGGGGCCCAAAGTTTTGACATTCATCCTCCCTTCCACACTAGGGTAGGGGCCATCATTGTCCATTTAAGGGCCCACAGCTGGATGGCACAGATGCCAAAGCCAGGGCTCCCTGACTCTCAGCACCATGGCTTGCAGGGCCCTGCTTGGTCCCACCCCTGCCCACATCCTCCAGCCTCCCCTTGCCCGCCTCTTGCCCTGGCAACACTCTGTGCCTTCCAGCCTCCAGCTTCCTCCTGCCTCAGGCCTTGTGCAGGCGGTGTGAGCTCCCAATGCCCAGTCAAGTCCTCCTGGAAGGTATTTCTCAAAGGGCTGGACCCTGTGCTTTCGCTTTATGACACTTATCATAATTGCAATTAAGTGGCTATGTGACTTTTTGTTTGACATCTGCAAGGAATGACCCCAGAAATGACTCTTCGGTTTGGTCACCGCTGTGTTCCCGAGGTTAGCAGTCCTTGGCATCTCTGAATCTTAATGCATGCTTGCTGAGATGATATAAGAATAAAATTACGGGGCTGGGGATGTGGCTCAAGCGGTAGTGCGTGCGCCTGGCATGAGTGCGGCCTGGGTTTGATCCTCAGCACCACATACAAAGATGTTATGTCCGCCAAAAACTAAAAAACTAACTAAATAAATAAATATTTAAAAAAAGAATAAAATTACCTATAAAAGGCAGACCACTGCGAACTTTGGGGATTATTTCTTTCTTTCTTTTTGTGGTACCGGGATGGAACCTAGGAGCATTCTATCACTGAGTGACATCCCCAGACCTATTTATTCTTTATTCTGCGACAGGGCTTCGCTGAGTCGCCCACACTGGCCTCAGACTTGTGCTTTTCCTGCCTTGGCCTCTTGCCACTGAGAGTATAGGCTGGAGCCACCAAGCCTGGCCCTAGCTTTTTGGAATTTTGAGCCATCATACTCCTCTTGATGAGCAAAGGCACACAGTCTAGGTTTGTCCCCTTACCCTTGGTCCTGGGCAGGTGGCACCTACCTCTGTGGGAATCTACTTTAGGCATGGAGGGCAGAAAACGGAAGCAAAGCCACCAGCAACCCTGGCAAAGGCTGGAACAGTGGCCCAGACCCCACTCCTCGGTAGTGGAGTCTCCCCTTGGCCACCTGGAAGGCACTCACTATTCCTTGGCGATCTCCAGGTCCTTTCTGTGGCTCTGCAGGGCTGCTCCCATCTGCCCCAGCTCAATCTGGGCGTTCCCGATGCAGCTGTACAAGTTCCCGAGCAGTTCGTCCTTGTTGGGCACCTCTTCTTTGTTCCATTCCAGCACCTTCTTCAGCACTTTCTCAGCTTTTTGAAGACTCCCTTCGGCACTGCCACTGGTCAGCACTGGGAAGACAAGCAGGTGACATGGAGGCAAGGGCAGTCTCCTCAAGGCTCATGGGGTGACTCCTCTGTGTCCACTCCCCCCCAGTGTCCATCCACAGCTCAGTGGAGTTGGGGGCTCAGGCTATTAAGCTGTTCCCGCCTCACTTGGCAAGAGAGCAGAGGCGCCTGCTCCGCCCCTCTGAGAATACTACCCACACATGTCGATGTCCTCCAGGCTCTTGAGGATGTAACGGGCCGTCTGTGACGGGTGACGTTTGCGGTCACGCAGCCACTTCTCTTGCATTAGCTTCCGGTCCCGCTCCCTGGCATAGATTGGCTTCTGCTGCCTCCAGAAGTTGCTGCGGGTGTCCAGGTAGTTGATGCCCATCATGATGAGGTCTTCCACAGTCAAGCCGCCCTTGATGGTGCCTTTGATGAGGTCTGTGGGGAAGGGGTGCAAGGCGACACAGAGAGGACAAGTGTTTAAGGGGATGGCCTCATCGAGGCTTGGGGCCCTGCTGAGGGGCCCTCCATGAGGAGCTCTGCCTGCAGCTGCAGGTACAGTGAGCAAAGGGAGAGCACATGGTGACAGAGTGGATCTAGCCAGGCCAGGATGAGGCCAGGGTCCCCCCTTTCGGGCATTCCCTTGGCATAGAACCTTCGTGGCAATATGCAAGGAGATAGCAGAAGGGGCAGGTGGGAAACACTCTAAGAAGCCCCAATTTTCAGGGATCCCCACTTTCAAGATGTATCCTCAGAGAAGAAAGTGTCTAGGCCCCCTGAAGGTCAGGAAATAATGCCTAGAGTTAATAAATGGGCTCTCTGCACAGCAAAGGAAACAATTAGGAATACAGAATGGTTGCTTAGGGCCTTGTTAAGTTGCTGAGGCTGGTTTTGAACTCAAAATCCTCCTGCCTCAGCCGCTCGCTGGAATTATAGACGTGTGCCACTGTGCCTGACTCGTTAGCTATTCTTCTGACAGAGGCTTAATATCTAGAATACAGAAAGAACTCAAAAAACTTAATAGCAAAACCCCCAAATAACCCAATTAATAAATGGGCAAATGAATTAAACAGACACTTCTCAAAAGAAGAAATATGAATGGCCAACAAAAATACGAAAAGAAGATTCAACGTCATTAGCTATTAGGGAAATGCAAATCACAAAGACACTGAGATGTCATCTCACCCCCGTTAGAATGGCAGCCATCAAGAATACCAACAAAAAAGCCTGGCACTTCGGCACAGGCCTGTACTTCCAGGGGCTCAGGAGGCTGAGGCAGGATGATTGCAAATTCAAAGCCACTTAGCAAGTCCTCAGCAATTTATTGAAACCCTAAACAACTTATCAAGACCCTATCTCAAAATATAACCAATGCAACTGATACTGCAGAATGTGGTCAAGGTAAAAAAAAAAAAAGACCCTATCTCAAAATAAAAAATAATAAGGGCTGGGGATGTGGCTCAGTGGTTAAGCCACACTTAGGTTTAATTCCTGATTAATAATAGGGGCTGGGGTTGTGGCTCAGCAGTAGAGCACTTGCCTAGCATGTGCGAGGGCCTGGGTTCGATCCTCAGCACCACATAAAAATAAATAAACAAAATAAAGGTATTGTGTACGACTAAAATAATAAATATTTAATAATAATAATAATAAGAAGAAGAAGAAGAAGAAGAAGAAGTAGTAGTAGTAGTAGTGCCGGAGAGAATGTAAAGAAAAAGGAACTCTTTTACAGTGTTGATGGGACTGTAAATTAGTACAACCACTGTGGAAATTAGTTCCTCAAAAGATAGGACATGGAACCACATATATGAATGTGTAACAAAAGCAGATGACCTACTATACCACTCCTTGGTATTTATCCTAATAATTTAAAGTCCACATACTGTAGTGACACATACAAGCCCATGGATATAGAAACACAGCCCACAATAGCCAAATTATGGAACCAGCCTCCATCAACAGGTGAATGGATAAAGAAAATGTGGTATATAAACACAATGGAGTTTTATTCACCCATAAAGAAAATAAAATTATGTCATTTGCAGGAAAATGGATGAAACTTGAGACCATCCATTTACTATGGATTTTCCCTCCTCAGAGTTTGGCAAAACAATCCAAACACACAAGGTCAAAGGTCATAAGAAAGGTGTGTGTGGGGGGCGGATCTCATGAAAATCAAAGGGAGATCAATATAGGAAAGGGACAAGGGGGTGGGAAGTGTGGAGAGAGGGGACAAGTGCTGGGGAGTGATATTGGCCAAGTTCTATTGTTACATTGTGTGCATATATGACTATGTAACAAAAAAATCCCATTATTATGTATAGCTGTAATGCGCCAATAAAAAAATGTGGAGGGCTGGGGTTGTGGCTCAGTGGCACTGGGTTCGATCCTCAGTACCACCTAAAAAATAAATAAAGATATTTTGTCCATCTACCACTAAAAAAATATTTTTTAAAAAAATGTGGAAAAAGGGGGGAAAAAGTGTCTAAATGCACAACCTGGCCCAGGTTGCCGGTGCCAAGTGATTCCCCAGGTGCCAAGTGTGTCTGCACATGCGTGGAGGGGTTTGCCTAAGTCCCGCCCACTGTTTGGACAGAAGCTACAGCTGGTTGCAAAGCTGCAACGCCACTTGGGGTAGTGCTCAGGCCACCTCTTTCCTCCACAACAGGTCCTCTGAAGCACAGGAGGCCTTCAGGTCCATTACCTAGGAGATGCGCCAGCAGCAAGGCCATCTGTGCAGCAAAGATTTACAGGGAACCCTGCAGATGACCTTGGGAAGCCAGTTCCAGAGAAAAGACATTTGCTTCAAGGGTGACCCTGCTCAGGCTTATCAGCTAATGCCGACCCCCAAGTTTCTGTACACATGCATCTCAAGGCTCTGTCCTGTGTCCTGTGTCCTGGCAGCACAGTGTGGGAGAGAGAGCATTGACTGGGTTCTGGTGTTGACTTTACCACTAAAATGCTTGTCACCTTAGACAAGTTCCTCCCCATTTCCTCATCTCTGAAAGGAGGGATTGGACTAGGTAATGTTTCAGAATATGAGTACTAAGGTGCTTGGATTTGAGTACCTCTCCACCAGAACCCTTTGCCCAGCCCATTGTACAGACTGAAGACTTAGGGGATGGCCCTTCAGGGACTATGGTGGTTGTTATGAGCTAGATCTGGAGAGTCCCTCAAAGGCTCATGTGTTGAAGGATTAGTCCTCAGCTGAAGGTGCTACTGGGAATTGGTGGAAGCTTTAAGAGGTAGGGCCTGGTGAAAGGAAGTTAGAACACTGGGGCTGTGTCCCCTTCCTCTCTGTTTGCTTCCCAGCTGCCATCAGGGGTGCAGCTTTGTTCCACCATGCATTCCTTACCACGATGTTCTGCTTTACCACAGGCCCCCAAATAATGGACCCAACCATGAACTTAACTTTCTGAAACCATGAGCCAGAATAAATCTTTTCTCCTTATAAAATGATTATCTCAGGTATTTTGTCACAGCAACAGAAAGCTAATACAATAGTAAAGGATTCCAAATCTCCATTGTTACTTTCCAGGGTACCACTGTGCTTACGAACACTCTCTCTGAAATTGGATCTCCTGAGTCCAAACATGAGTCATTGCCCATCCATGTGTGACCTCAGTTTCCTTATCTGTAAAATGAGAATACTACTAAAACCCATCTACGTGTACATGTCAGTTAATATTTATGATAGTCTCTGCTTCTGGTTCAAACATTAACTATCCACCCCAGATTTCCTTTGCCTCAAGTCCCCATTGCCAAGAAAGGGTCTGAAACCTTCATCCAGTAGGAGCTTCTCCAGATACTCCTTGTCCACGTAGAGCTCCCCCAGCAGTTGGCGGATAGTCTTCTCACTCTTGAATGAGCCCTTCCGCTTGGATTCTCTCTTGGTGTGGTGTGGGAGTTGCTTAATGGGATGAGGCTTCTGCTGGGCTTTCATACTCTGGAAAAATGGAGTGATACCCAACAGAGCCTCAGCAAGGAGCACAGAGTCCCAGCCATGGCCCAGAGCCTATGATTCCATATTCCTCTGCCGCAGTCTGGCTGGGCACAAATCACGAGCCACTGAAGCAGGAACAAACTTTATTTCTGAACTCCACCAGCACACTCCACACACGCTCCTGGGAACTCTCCCGAACGCCACCCACACGGCTCCTCCAGGAACCACCAACCGGAAATCCCTCCTCTGGCACTTCCCCAACCAATGCGAACTCTCCAGGAATCCCCGCGAGAATTCCCAAGTAGCGGGCCGAGGCGGACAGTAAAGGTCTAATATACAATTAAATCAATCCAGCATCATCTTAATGGCTCGCCTCTCAACCAATACTATTGGCAAAATGCCAGGGGCCATTCCGACTCGGTGTGGCTCTCAGCATTCCTCCTCTAGGACCTCTCTGTGGGCCGAGAACCATGGGACGTGCCTGGTCAGGCAACAGCTAGACACACAGGACCCCTCTAGAGTTGGGGCAGAATCCCATGACTGCCCATGATGGGCAGGAGTTAATCACTCCCAGGCAAGAGGGCCACTAGACACAGGCATACATGACCTCAGAACCAGAAACTTTACCTCGGCCTGCTTGCTTAAGAAGAACACGTCCCCTTTGTTCTCCAGCTTAATGGAAGAAGGACCTGCAAGGACAGAAGCCGGAGCTCAGGTTGGCCAAGTCTGTCAGGCATGACCTATCACATATTTCATTTAGAAATGGCTGCATTTGGCAGAAGGATAGTGGAGGCTGTGGCAGAGCAGGCCCCGAGTCAGCCTAGCAGGCAAACGGTGCAGGATGTTTGGTACAAGAGTTTCCTAGGAGCTAGCCAGCCGTCGCCAGCCCCAGGCCATGGCAGTTAGATTTCCAAATAAAGGGAGGCCTGGGCACATGGTAAACTGCCCTGTGCCATTTCCACACTCTGCTGCCCACAGCAGCAAGCTCTCACTCACCTCCCTTGTCCTCTTGCTACTGAGCTACTGAGTAAAAACCCATCCTTTGTATATACGTGGTGAGGGAGGAAGCCAGGGCCTAGGGAAGGTTGGACTCAGGACCTCCTTTGACCCTGTGACTCCAGGCTAAAGACAGGCCTACTTCAAAACAGTCCTTCTAATGTGGCTTTGAGGAAAACAAAGACACTGTAGTACTCCGTACAGAGGATCAGGAGTTGGTTCTCCCAGTACAGTTTCTTTTGTTTTCTTTTTTCGATATGGGATTGAACCTAGGAGTGTTTAACCACTGAGTCACATCCCCAGCTCTTTTTTATTATTGTTGCTAGTTGTAGATGGACACAATATTTTATTTGTTTATTTACTTTATGTGGTGCTGAGGATCGAACCCAGTGACTCACACATGCGAGGCAAGCGCTCAACCACTGAGCTACAACCTCAGCCCCTCCCCAGCTCTTTTTAATATTTTATTTAAATACAGGGACTTGCTAAGTTGCTTAGGCCCTTGCTAAGATGCTGAGACTGGCTTGGAACTCAGAATCCTCCTGCCTCAGCCTCCTGAGACACTGAGATTACAGCCCAGGAGACAGTTTACTGTGCCTGGCCCAATCAACAAGTTTCTAATCCCTGACAGCATGAGCAATAGCTGAATCCAAGTCTTGAGACTCCCAGTGAACCTGCGGCTGGTTGCTCATCCACCTAACCTCAGCCCTTCCTCTAAACCTTGGGATTCGGGGATCCTTCCTGGATAAGGTCATAGGCCCTGTGCTCACTCACTTCCCACTGAGTTGTTGATGGCTTCCTGGGCTTTCTGAATTCCAACTTTGAATTCCCGATCAGGCCGCAATTTGTAACCTCGATGATAGAACACCAAGGCAAACTCAAAGTCTCCCATGGTGTACAGGGTCTCCGCCTTTTGTAAAATTCCCTGGAAGGAGAGAGACTCGAATCAAGGTGGACAGACAAGGCCTTACAGGACTCAGATTTGGCAGAAAAGAAGTGTCCTGGGTTGAGGGTCAAAGTTGGAATAGAGAGGGCGAGCAGGTGACCTGTGAAGAGAAACACGGCATCAGACACCAAGCAGTCTGGCGGATTCCTCAACTACTGGTAACCAGAGGCTGCGGCAGGCAATGGCAGTGAGTGGTGAAAGCAAGAGTTGTCCCACCTAGCTGGTCACCTTGCAGAAAGTTGGGTCGCTGTGGAGTGAAGCCTCAGCATCCTTCAGGGATTTCTCCAAGTCTCCCATCTTCAGGTAGCACTTTGAGCGGGCAACCAGGCAGTTCTTGTCTCCATTCTGAAGGTGAAGAGCCTGAGAAGGGAATCAGTCAGGTTGGCAGACACCTGGAAGAGCAAGGTTTAGCAACTTGACCTAGAAAGTGCAGCCCTGACCTCCTGCAGAGTTTCAAGGGAACTCTTCAGGTCAGCAAGCAGGCCTCTGTGCCTTAGCAGACCAAAAGCACTGATCTTTGCTCAGTCACCTTGAACCCATTGACCTGCATGTGGCTTATCTTGAGCAAAGCTGAATCACAGCTATTCTGGATTAGTTGAGATATGGGAAGTACCTGTGGAGGTACTTTCTGCCAATGCTTATGAACCCCTTGGTCCACTCAGGTGATAAAGCCACAGGATATTTTGTGTATGCCAAATTCAATCACAAACCTCAAAATAAATTTCAAAGTCTAAGACAAACAAAATGGATTTTAGGACAATTTGCAACTTGGGTTATCCATTCCACTAGACTTATCTTTTCCTTTTTTTTTTTTTTTTTGTCTCTGGGATTGAATGCAGGGGCACATTATCACTCAACCACATCCCCAGTTCTATTTTTTTTTTTTTGAGGGGCGACCAGGGATTGAACTCAGGGGCACTCAACCATAGAGCCGCATCCCCAGCCCTTTATTTATTTATTAGTTGTAGTTAAACACATTACCTTTATTTTTCTTTTTATGTGGTGCTGAGGATCCAACTCAGTGCCTCGCACTTGCCAGGCAAGCGCTCTACCTCTGAGCCACGACCCCAGCCTCCCCAGCCCTATTTTGTATTTTATCAGAGACAGGGTCTCACTGAGTTGCTTAGCACCTTGCCATTGCTGAGGCTGGCTTTGAACTCGTGATCCTCCTGCCTCAGCCTCCCGAGCTGCTGGGATTACAGGAGTGTGCCACCATGCCCGGGCCCAGTTCTTTTTATTTTTTAATTTTTTTTTTTAAGAGAGAGTGAGAGAGAGAGAGAGAGGAAGAGAGAGAGAGAGAAAATTTTATTTTATTTTATAAAAATGATTGGATTTTTTTTATTTTTATTTTTTTAAGAGAGAGAGAGAGAGAGAGAATTTTAATACTTATTTTTCAGTTTTCGGCGGACACAACATCTTTGTATGTGGTGCTGAGGATCGAACCCGGGCCGCACGCATGCCAGGCAAGCGGGCTACCGCTTGAGCCACATCACCAGCCCCGAGAGAGAATTTTAATATTTTTTTTTTTTAGTTTTTTTTTCGGCGGACACAACATCTTTGTTTGTATGTGGTGCTGAGGATCGAACTCGGGCCGCATGCATGCCAGGTAAGCGCGCTACCGCTTGAGCCACATCCCCAGCCCTTATTTTTTAAGACAGGGTCTCACTATGTTGCTTAGGGCCTCAATAAATTGCTGAGGCTGGCCTCAAACTTGTGATCCTCCTGTCTCAGCCTCCTGAGTCGCTGGGATTTCAGGCATGTATCACCATCATCCTGGAATACAAGCTTTTTCTTCTTTTGTTCTCCCTGGTGGTACTGGGGATGAAATCTAGGGGTTTGTACATGCTAGTAAGTGCTCTACCATTGAGTACACATCCAACCTTTTTAAAACTTAATTTAATTTTAGGTATTAAAATTAATACCATTGAATCCATGGCCTCAAGCATGCTAGGCAAGCATGACTGGATTCGATCCCTAACACTGAGCGGTGGGGGTGGGGGGCTAACAATTTTAAAACATCTCCAGACCTTTTATTTTTATTTATTTATTTATTTATTTTAGAGAGAGAGAGAGAATTTTTTTAAATATTTATTTTTTAGTTTTCGGCGGACACAACATCTTTGTATGTGGTGCTGAGGATCGAACCTGGGCCACACGCACGCTGGGCGAGCGTACTACCACTTGAGCCACATCCCCAGCCCCTATTTATTTATTTTTTGAGACAGGGTCTCACTGAATTGCTTTGAGCATCCTTAAATTGCTGAGGTTGGCCTTGAACTTCCAATAATCCACCTCAGCCTTCTGAGTCTCTGGGCTAACAGGCATCTACCACCATACCTGGCTTTATTTCTTTATTTTGAGACAGGGTCTCCCTAAGTTGCCCAGGCTGGCCTCAAAACCATGATCCTCATGCCTCAGACTCCTGAGTAGCTGAGATTATATGTACATACCACCACACCTGGCTCAAGCCTTTTCTTTCAATGAAACTAATTGAGGAAAATGGGTGGGGGTAGGGTTCCCAAACTCAATTGTTCACCCATTTCTGGTTTTAGGGTGTGGTTGGTGGTTAAAAGGGACAAAAGACTTTAGATAGCAATTGAGAAGCTTGACTTTAGCAGAAGTCTTAGAATGGGTTAATGGACTATCCTACCACATCATTTGGAATAAGAGGCAGGCTGTGGGCTGAAGGTGTAGTTCAGTGGTACAGTGCTTGCCTAGCATGCTTGAGGCCATGGATTCCATGCCCAACACTGAGGGGTAGGGGGTGGGGGGGCTAACAGTTTTAAGACATCTCACAGAGCCAGGGACAGTAGTGCAGGACTGTAATTCCAATGGCATTGGAGGTTAAGGCAGGAGGATTGCAAGTTTAAAGCCAGGCTCAGATGTTTAGCAAGACCCTAAGCAACTTAGTGAGAACCTGTCTCAAAATAAAAAATAAAAAGGGCTGGAGATGTGGCTCAGTGGTTAAGAGCCTCTGGGTGGGAAAAAAAACAAAAAACAAAACCAAAACCAAACAAACCTGACAGTTGACTTGTGCCAATGCACTGTACCGTGGATAGGGTCTCAGTTTGGAGTCTGCGTGTCTAGATTTGGATGCTTACTCTCTTCCTCTACCGCTTGCTAATTCAGTAAGCTTAAGCATGTTGCTTAACTTTTGTATCAGTTTTCTCATGTATAAAATGGAGTAATAATAGCCCCTGCATGCACCTCCTTATTGGCATATGTTATGCTGGGCAGCGAGTCTGAAACAGCATCCAACCCCCTTAGGATGTGGTGGTGCAATTTAGACCAAGGTTACTGTAACAATGCTGATTGTTTTACTGACAGCCTCCTTTCTATAAACATCCGTGTGCCAGACACTTCGCAACTTCTACATGCCTCTCTCCCAACCCATCACCAGCCAAGGATGGGAATTCGAGACTGCTCTATGAAAGGTCAGTTAATCGCAAAACATTTAAGTAAAAGTAAAGGGAGAGGTCACTGTTAATGCAGAGAATGAAGAACGCAAATGGAAATTGGTAGAAAATGACCAAGCACCGGGCTTATTTAGGATATTGGTGCATCAATCAGGAGTTAGTATTAGACCCAACAGGGTCCTCCAGGCAATTTGAGGACCTCAGCGCTACTCACGTTGCTAAAGCTCTGGGCGGCTTTAGAGAATTCCCCGCGCAGGTAGAGCCGCTCGCCCTCTGCCATGTAAGAGGGAAAGGTACTTCGCAAAGTTTCAGTTGCGGGTTCCAACATGGTGACAGGCTTTGGGGAAGCTGAAGTGGAGAAAGGGAGGAAAAGAAGCTGCAGAACTTCTGTCTGGCTTGTAGAAGACTCGTCTCCTAGCAACCGAGAGACAGAGACTGACTTCCGGTCCCGCCCTTGGCTCCTGCGGAGTCTTGGTCCCTGGCACCCCCCGACACATACACAGCGTGCGCATGCGCATGCGCCTGGGCGGTGCATAGGGTCCGCTGATGCTGAGCGCGTGGACAGCGGCTGGAGCCTGGCGGGGCTCTAGAGTGATCGTTGTCGCGTGGTTAGTTGGTTCTCTTCCGATTTACCACGTGGAAAGCCTCCTGTGCAAGGCAGTCAAGAAAAAAATAGAGTTGGAGGCACAATTCCAAGTAAGGGTAAGGCATACCTGCCCCCGTACCGCCATCAGGGAGCGTTTTGGACTTGGAGGCCGAGTGTTTGGGCAGCCTCGCTTGACCCTGAGCGAGGTACTTGAACGCCTTGCGTGTTCTACCTGCGAAAAGAACATGAAAATAGTAGAACCCTCGGTGATGTGAGGATTTGCATGAGACTACGATGGAAAATAACCTTGGGTTCAACATTCAGTTTAACCTATTTATTAAGCACCTGTTTGTAGTGGACCTTGACTCAGGTCGACCCTGAGTTCCCTACCCATACCTCACCACCACCCAAAAAAGTGGACTCAGAATTGGGCCTAGTGGTTTACACCTGTAATCCCAGCTACTCAGGAGGCTGAGGCAGAAGGATCCTAAATTCAAGGCCAGCTTCAGCAACCTAATAAAACTCTGTCTCAAAAAAAAAAAAAAAAAAAAAAGCATGTAAGAAGAAAATGCAAGAAAAAGGAAAAATAATTTTGACTTCAAGTTAAAATTCTCTGCTCTTCACAAGACATTATTAAGTGTAAAATCAAAAGCTGTCACACAAGGGCTAGGGATTTAGCTCAGTAGTAAAACACTTGCCTAGCTTGAAAGAGGCCCAGGGTTCAATTCTTAGCACTGAAAAAACAAACAGGGGCTGGGACTGTGGCTCAGCGGTAAAGCACTCGCCTAGCACGTGGGAGGCCCTGGGTTCGATCCTCAGCACCACATAAATAAATAAAATAAAGATATTGTGTCCAACTACAACTAAAAATAAATATTAAGAGGAAAAAAACAAACACACACAGACTGAAACACTGAAATAGAATAGAATATTTGCAAAATAGGTATCCATATCCAGAATTTGAATCTTCCACACATCAAAGTGAATTTACAACTTGATAAGACAACCCAAACTGAGAAATGACCCAGGGTTTAGAACAGTTACTTGACTTAAGAAGATACGGAGAATGCCCACTAGAATGATTAAAATATAAAAGATTAGATTTGCCCAAAGTTGTGGACAATATAGGAATTGTGACCTACCATGGTCTGTGGATTAGAAGGCCAGAAGGAGATCCTCTCCACCATACTGGGATGAGATGGATCCACTCAGGGTCCAAGAGCTGGTGGCATAGCTGGATGTGGAGAAGATGTCCAAGAAGTACACAGAATGACCAGTGTCTGCCACCAGGAGTGTATGCCTCCCCACTATACGGAAATAGATCCATCTAAGATCAAGTTCGTGTGTCTAGACTTTGAAGACTAGATGTCTCCAAATACCTGGACACCCATGAGTAGACTGGCAAAAAAGTTGACAAGAGTTTTCTATATGGGATGAAGGGCTAATGAAGAGGGGGCAGCAGAGCTCTGGGCCCACCCCAAGTCCCAATCTAGAACCAGGGTACAACTGGCCCCTTCTCATTTATCTAATAAAAATGTCATTTGTGAAGTCACCCAGTGTAGGATCTTTGAAGACTCTCCTGGAGCCCAGATATGGTACAACTCTCTCCTGGTTGAAGAGGGGATATTTGTCACACTGGAATGTGACTCTGTGTGTTTATTGATCTCTAAAAAATTAAAAAGATGGACCTCAGGAGGTGTTGGCAAAACTGTCAAGTAACTGGAACTCTCACATAATGCGGTGGAAATGTAAAATGGTATAATCACTTTGGGAAATACTTTGATAGCTCCATAAAAAGTTAAAACGTGTACTTATATAACCCACGCATTCCACTTCTGGGAAGTTACCTAAAAGAAATTAAAGACTTGAACATGAACATTCAATGTAGCTTTATTTGTAATAGCCTCAAACTGGAAACATATCCATCAACAGGTGAATGGGAAAACAAATTATAGTTTATCCATATAATGGAATACTACCCAGCAATAAAAAGGAATGATCTATTGATGCACATGTGATATAAATGAGCCACAAAATAATTATGCTGAGTGAAAGAATCTAGACAAAAAAAGACTGAGCCAGGTGCACCTGTAATCCCAGAAACTGGGGAGGCTGAGGCAGGAACATCACAAGTTCAAGGCCAGCTTCAACAATTTAGTGAGGCTCTGTCTCTGAAAATAAATAAACAAATAAAAAGGGCTGGGGATGTGGTTCAATCATAAACTGCCCCTGGGTTCAATCCCCAGTAACTAACAAACAAACCAAAGACTATGTGATTCCAATGATACGAAATTTTACAAAATGCAAATTATATGGCCTGAATGCAATACTGTGGCTTCCTGGGAATATGGCAGTAGGGAAGACAGCAGTAAATCATAAAGGAGTAACAAGGAAACTTTTGAGGGTGAAGGATATGTATCTTGACTGTAGTAATGGTTTAATGGGTATTTACATGTGTTGAAACTCATCAAACAAGACACTTGACATGTGTAACATATAATGTTAATTACACCTCAATATAGCTATTTAAAAAGAAAGCACAATAATATAGCAATAATAATGTGTGCTCTTTAGCTGAGTGTGGTGACACTCACCTGTAATCCCAGCTACTCAGGAGGCTGACCTGAGAGGATGGAGAATTTGAGGCCAGCCTCGGCAATTTTGTGAGACCCTGTCTAAAAAGCAAAGCAAAGCAAAACAAGATAATAATGTGTGCTTTTTGGCAGTTTACAAAGCACTTTGTGATCTTCACCATACTCTGGTGAGTGAAGGACTCAGGCGGTATTTTCCTGGTTTCATAGATAAACACTGAGGCTGAGAGGTGATAGGGTTTGCCCCAGACACAGCAACCGGATATAAGTAAGCTTGGATTGCTTTAGCAGGAACTGGATTCCAGCACGTCCAACCCTTTACTATTCAGCTTCTCAAATTACTTCTTTCCTTCTTTTATTGTGAAATAGAACATGGGTACAGAAATACATATGAAATATACATGTGCAGTTTAATCATCATACAACGAACACCCATGTAATCATCAGGCAGGAATTCAAGAAACAGGAGGCTGTCTGCCTCCTCCCCAGCTCACTGCCACCTTCACACCTTCACAGTCACTCCCAGGATCTGAGCCCCCATTTCCTGTCTCATGGACTACTGTCCCCTTGGTCTGGTCTTGCCCCGCTGACCTTCTCAACAGAAGATTCCTTTTAAAATGCAGGTCAGATGGTGCCTTTCCTCTATCTGAGGCCCTGCAGTGATTTCCTATTTCACCAGGAATGGAGATTCTTCTGGCCCTTATCTCTGTGTTCCAGCTACCCGGCCTCATAACTGCTCCCTAAACAGGAAACTGCTAGACAGCCTCCTTCCTTAGGGCCTTTGTTCTAGCAGGTTCTGCCATCTGGAATGCTCCCCACAGCCACTCACCTGCTCTCTCCGCCTCCCTCAAGTGTAGACTCAAATCTCTCCTCTAAGGGAATAGGTACTCTGACTGCCCTAATTAATACTGCAGCCTTCTACCCCATCCTCCGATTCGAAAATTCCTGATTTCCTTCTTCTATTCTGTTCTTTCCCCGCCCTCTTTTCATAGTGCCACTTTTTGATACACTATATAACTTCTTTATTTGTTTTATGATTTTTTTTGGCTTGTTTCCCTTGATAAAATATAAGTTGCACAAGGGGGAGCACCTTTGGGTTTTCATTTGTATTTTTTTTAATGTATTTTTTGAGGATATTTATTTTTAGTTGTAGATGGACACAATACCTTTATTTCATTTATTTATTTTTATGTGGTGCTGAGGATTGAACCCAGGGCCTTGCACGTGTTAGGCGAGTGCTCTACCACTGAGCCACAACCCCAGCCCCTCATTTGTATTTTTCTAATGGATGATGATGTTGAACATCTTTTCATGTGCAGATAGGCATCCTCCATATATCTTCTTTGGTCAAGTAACTGTTCAAATCTTTTGGTCAATTTTTTTTTTTTTGGTACAGAGGATTGAGCCCAGGGCTTTTAGCCGCTGAACCACATCCCCAGCACTTTTTAAAATATTTTATTTAAGAGATAGGGTCTCGCTGAGTTGCTTAGGGCCTCTAAGTTGCTGAGGCTAGCCTCAAACTCATGATCCTCCTGCCTCAGCCTCCCAAGCTGCTGGGATTATAGATATGCCAGGCTTCTTAGTCATTCTTTTTTCTTTTTAAGGTGGACACAATATCTTTATTTTATTTTATGTGCTGCTGAGGATCAAACCCAGTGCCTCACACATGCCAGGAGAGCACGCTATCACTTGAGCTACATCCCGAGCCCTACTATGTCATTTTATATGAGTTATTTGTCTTATTTTAGAGACTTTTAAGGTTATGTGTTATAGAGTAGTAATGCCTGCACATTGATAATAATCAGTAAATATGTATTGGTCTGGTCTTTTGCGATCCTCATTTCTTTTATTGTCTTTGTACTTTTTCATTCCAAATAATACAATCTAGTTTTGCTTCTTTTGATTCTCTACTATATTTTGTGTTTCACTGTCTTTTGCTCAACATTATGCTTTTGTGTGTTTGTGTGTGTGTGTGTGTTCGTGTGTGTGCGTGTGTGTGCATGTGGTGTGCTGGGGATTGAACTCCAGACCTTGTGCATGAAAGGCAAGCACTCTACCAACTGAGCTATATCCCTAGCCCCGATATTATGCTTTTGAGATTCATTCATGTAATACATATACCTGCAGTTCATTAATTTCATTTATTTATTTATATTTTTTGGTATTGGAGATTGAACGCAGGGTTACTTTACCACTGGGTTCAGTCCTTTTATTAAAATTTTTGAAACAGGACCTAGCTAAGTTGTTGAGAGTCTTGCTAAGTTGCTGAGGCTGGCCTTGAACTAG